CAAAAAATGTCAGATGTGGTGGCACCAGTTTGTAATCCTAATTCTTGAGAGGAAGAAGCAAGAGGACCAGAAGTTCAAGGTCATCCTTGGCTATACATTAAGTTTGAGACCAGTCAGCTATATGAGACCAGTCAGCTATATAACAGAAATTATACAATCAAGATCTGTTGACACACAATTCCAAAATCTCACAGGGAAGTGCCAGGAAGGAGAATCGTAAAGTCTGGGCTACAGCAAGACCTTGCGTCAAAAGAAACAAATAACAGGGAATGTAGCTTAGTGCTATAGCCTCCTCTTGCATACACAAGGCCCCTACAACACACACACTTTACAAAGGGTCTGCCTAAAGTGGCTACAAGGAAGATGAGAGCTGGTAAGATGATTCAGTAGGTGAAGGCTAGAGCTACCGAGCCTGATGACCTGAGACTACATGGTAAAAGGAGACTCTGGAACAGACCCTGGAAAATTATCCTTTGTCCTCCACATGTATACTGCCAGCATGAACAATTCGCACAAACTCTAAGAGATGAGAAGAACCATAAAATAGAGCACTCAGAATGTGCCAGGTGCTAAAAATATTATCTATCTATCAGGTAGATGTGCTGGAGTCTCAGTTCTCACAGCTGCTTCTTCAGATCAATTCTACGAGGGACTTTGAAAGCATCCGATTGGCTCATGATCACTTCCTAAGCAATTTGCTGGCCCAGTCCTTTATTTTGCTGAAACCTGTAAGTAGGAGTGGTCTGTTTCCTTAGCCTGTTTCTAATAAGCCCCTTTAGGCTGCTGGAATTGATAAGACATGAAACTTACTGAACTCTTGTTATATTTCATTTTTACATTTTTGACAACTCAAAGCAAAATAAAAAGGCAGCGTTAAAAGGTAAGTGAAATGTTGTATCATAGAGTGTGGTGAACAAGTATAGTTAAAGAACTATGTATTTAACCTCCAGAAGAAATTACTTACTTGAAATTCAAAAATCTCTCTGACTCTGCAGGAAAACAGAGTGCACTTTCTAAGAAATCTGTTGAGCCAAGATTAACCATTAATTTGGGAATTGTTTTCATAGGCACATAGAGTCTGTCACTCTGGATATGTGTCCAACTGCAAGTACCTACATTTAGCGTCTTTGTGGAAGCTCTCCTCAACCCTGACTACATACTAGAGTCATCTGTGACATTGTAAAAATCTAAGGCCAGACACTCAAGTCAAATGCAGATTGGGGTCTAAGCACCAGTAATTTTTAAAGCACACAAGCTGGCTCCAATCCCAAAATGAAAAGTGAGAGACTAAAATAATAATACAGTGACCAAGCTGTACTGCTCAGGGTGCCAATCTGTGCTGTTACTTGGCAAATCATGGAAGAATTACTTAAGTATCCACCATCCTAAAGGGATCTGTGAATTGGGAAAACAAACAAACAAAAAACTGCAGTGGTGGGCACTGTTCTTTAAACAGCATGGGTGTATCCCTGAGGAAAAGCATTACATCAGAACAGGTCATCATAACTGAAGTCTTTATTGAGTGCTTACTGTATGCAAGGCACTGGGGATACAAAGAGGTATAAGTCATGGCTCTGCCCTTAAGGAGCTCACAATCTAGTTGGAAAAACAAGATGTACATACAGAAGCCAGCAACAGCACAGGTGGCCTGGACAGTTCCCAGTGAACAACACAGATACTACAGTAGAGAAAGGTGGAATTCACTAAAGGCTGCAGTGGGTAAGGAGTATTTCACAGACTGGGATTTGGATTGGTACTAAAGAGAAGAGAAATCCCAGGAAACAATACTCACATACCAAAGGCAAGAGCACACTCAGTGGGTCTAATAAAGGATGGTGAGCTAATAGCGACTGAAGTGGAGCTTTGTGTCGGGGGACAGAGAAGAATGCAGCTGTCCCAAGAAGGGATGTTCATCCTGCATATTCCTGGGGAGGGCCAGACAGCCTTGAAGGTGGTGATGTCTGTGCAGAGTTCAGACAGGGGAGGTCAGTTGTCAGACTATTTTCTCAAACCTTGCGTTTTCAGAAGTTTCTTCCTTCATTCCCTAACACCAACTGTATTTTTGGGTAGGTGTTTCACTGCCTGAATGAAATCCTAGATCTCTGTCACAGTTTTTGTTCACTGGTCAGTCAGAACCTGGGTCCACTGGATGAGCGAGGAGCTGCCCAGCTGAGCATTCTTGTGAAGGTGAGTCTGCCTGGCCACTGGAAATACATACCCCACGCCAGGGAGCAAACAGCCTTTGCTCTGAGTCAATAAAGTGTATCCCAGAACAGACAAATGACAAGATAAAAAGATAAAAGCATTGGTATCAGTGGATTTTGAAGATTAAAGTGCTGCCTCACAGTGTTCAGAAATAGTTCAGCCCTGAATAGTTTATTCAGCCCACCAAGTATACATTGGCTTTGTGCTCATTTTCTCACATCCCACTTCCTTCCCTGAACCAGCCTCCCATCTCACTTGTAATTATAATCTGAGACTATATTTATCTCCTTGTAACAAAGCAAGCTCACTGCAATCCCAGTATGTGATAGAATATATTAATCTGAAATGAGCTGTTGAATTCCTACTAATGAGAGAGTACTTTCATGGAAGTCATGCATTTCACAGACACAGTATTAAGAAGTCAAACTTGTTTTAGGAGCTGATAGTAATAGGAATGTGGTCCTGCAGAAATTTAAGCAAGGCTTTTCCAAAGACACCAGGTGTCATACTCTGCATGGTAGTGACAGCTCAGGTCTCTCAACAGGGTTTTAGTCGCCAGTCTTCACTCCTGTTCAAGATTCTTTCCAGTGTTCGAAATCACCAGATCAACTCAGATTTGGCTCAATTACTGCTCCGGCTAGATTATAATAAGTATTATACCCAGGCTGGTGGAACTCTGGGCAGGTAAGAGCAATCCTTGAGGAACTCATCAGATTTGTGGGAGGGGGTTAAAGAGTTGTAAAAGTCCAAAATGGAACTTCAGCCTTCATCAACAAATGCCCTCATTTTATAAGCTAGGCTCAGAGATGTGGGAAGGTGCTTTGTGGTGGGGGTGATCATGCTTCATAATTTTATTGGAGGCTGTGTTCTAGTAAAAATCATCAGCATGTTGAGATACTACAGCCGAGGGTGAGTTCTGTGCTAGGTTATGTGCTGTGCTCTAAGGGACAGCGGGCTTGCATAACCTGCTGACATGTACTAGCAGTGTAGCTGTGCCACCATGCTTCATTGGCTTTCTCAGGAAAGGGGGCACTGCCTCTTTTAAACGCTTTGAGTCTAATAATGAGATCCACTGGTAGTTGGCTTCTCAGGTCTGTGTCACTGCCATTTGGAAAAGCATTTCATTGCCCTTCTTCCTCTCTAAGATGTCCACGAACATTTTTTCTTTCTAACTAGTTTTACTGGAAGCCAAACATCTTTGAGTATATCTCAGATAGCCATGCTTCTTGGGAAAGCATGACATTTAATGAAACTTTTTCTTTTTATAGTTTTGGGATGTGAAAACTGGTTCATAAAATGAAGTAACAGTCTGCCTGCCACATTCTGATGTCTATAACACTCCTCCCCAATTATTAAACATCAGAGATGCCTACAAACTGGTGAAAGGATGCTACCTTCTCTTCTAGAAGAGGTATAAACCCTTCCTAAAATTCCTGTGGGGAATGTCTCTGCTGACCACTCAAAGGCTAAAAGTGTTGGGTAGGTTCATTTGTACAACAGTGGTGTATTGAGCATTTACTATGTCCCTATGGACTCATCAAGGTATGGGAGATACCGCAGAAAACAATAGGGATCAATAAAACATGTTTAGGTTTGGTTCATATAGAAAGGAATCATGCATCTAGATGTTACCACCAAATTAGAAAAGTAAAAAAGACTTAAGCCAGGACAGACTCCAAAACAATACAGAGAAACCCTGTCTCAAAAAACCAAAAAGAAAAGACGTAATTTAGCCAGGCTGTGGGCTTTCCCTTCCCCTCTCCTCTGCACCATGTAATTTATTATCTTTATCCTCAAAAATTTAAGTTTTGAGAGCCTCCCTCCGTTAAGGGTACTCAAAACCTGATCTCAAGAGTTCTAGCTAAAGATGATACAGGTTAAATTGTTCAGATTTTACTTAAAATTGCAAACTTAATTAAGACAAACCATGAGTTAAGGTTATACTCAGATGGTGCAGTCACAAATGTTCATATCAGTGTAAACAAGGGAAATATTCCATTAACATACCTTCCCTCCAAGCTGGACAAGAATGCAGTGTTTAGGCCTGTTGGTAGTCACTGAATGTTCTGTTCATCTACATTTTCTACCACCCACTATGAAAGTCTGTACCTGTCAACTACAGAAGATCCTTTCCATTGTTACCTCTAGAAGCAAAGTGTGGCAAATAGTGGCCTACTGCTTCTTTTGTAAATAAAGTGTTATTCAAATAGCCACACATACTCATTTACCTAATGTCTATGATTGCTTTCATCTCACGGCAAAAGACAAGAAACTAACAAACGAAATGACTACAAAGCTTGAAGTGTTTACTGTTTGGATCTTTATTAAAAAACTAAAGGCTAAGAGGCTGTGTGTATTAATGGGGATGATGTTGAATGCGAGGAAGGAATAACATCCAGCAGGTGTGGCAGTTAACTTATTTTTCAGAAAATTGTCTGTCCTATCAAGTTTATAGTCAGTCCACTGTTCATTCATACCCTTTCTGCTTTGAGTACCATAGATCAGCTATTATAGGCTCAGGTAGGTCTTAATATCCAGAGCTGTCCCCAATCCCATTCAAGTTTGGCAGGACTATTTATCTAGGCCCTCACGTACTTGAAGCTGTAAGCTGAGTTTTTAAAAGCATAATTTTAGATAGCCTTGGATAACTTTTTGACAATGGTGCCACAGAATAAATTTCATCCCCACGTTTTTAATCTTCCTTTGTTTGATGTGCTGCTAAAGTGACAAGACTGCTGAAAACTTCAGAGATCCTATGTTCTGAGATGAAGCTCAAAGAAACAGATAAAGAAATCTCAGTTACTACAACCAAAGAGTCAACATTTATTTTATCATAAAAGTCCAGCAAATAAAACTATGTACAAGATCCATGCAAAGAATACAATTACACACAAGACACACGTAAAACCTGATTAAAACACTTAAAACACAATCTCCACAATAGCAGGAATAAAATCAGTAAGACCAGGTATCTTTAGTGAGAAACATAATCATGTTTATATTTTGGATGCTGCTTGAATCCAATTCTCTCCCCAACAATGAGGCACTGGATCACCCACTCTTGTGACACCACAGGCAGCTGCAAGGCTTCAGCACACTTGAGCACCGAGGCTGGGCATGAGGGGTCTGTCACCACCACATCAAATACCCCTAAAGCAATGTCTGCAAGAAGTAGGGAGAAGTGAACGAGGAAAGAACACTCAGTTTAGCTCTTGTTTAAAAAAACAGGTGTGCCTTCTAGCCAGTATTCCCTACTAACGCCCTCTTTTACAGATACTGTACGTTCATAACCTAAAATAAAAGTGCAATCACTACTTACTGACCTTGTAGAACTACTGAATAGAAATGCCACTGGAGACTATAGAAGCAGGGACAGCTTTGTCCTTTACTTACACCAACCCATCCTTTTTGAAGGTGGCACTTGGAACACACAGGCTAATAGCTGTTGAGTCTAAGGACATCCCTGGAATGACAATGAACACACGCTTTCCAGGTACCTTTGTTATGGGCACTTGAATGGTGCTGCTTCACGGAGGCTGCCCCTCCAGTCATAAGGATCTCAGACCAGAGCTCCAGGAAGTTCTGTTGTTGATCTGACACCAAGAGTACCTTCAGATTCTGGAAAGGGTTTTCACGAGGTTGCCTACAAAGGAGTTGGAGACAGTGTTTGGGAACTGGGAAGAACCTCAGTAGGACCCATCATATCTAACCATCTAGATCATCTGCAAAGAATGCCTGCACATCTCACATCTGAATGCTTTCCTAACTAGGCCATGTACTGGAACAAGCCCTGCCTCTCTTCTGATGAGGTATGTACTCTGTAAGTTTAATGGTTGAAAGTTATTTTGAATTGCAATGCTTCCCCTAATAGGGGATACTGACCCTAATTTCCACGTCTTCAGAAGGTTCCTAGCCAATGTAGAAGCACTTGACTACCACTATTATTTCAAATTCTTAGTAGAAACTGAAATGTCTGTAGACTAACACTTCTTCCCAACTAGATTATCTTCTCAGCTCTAGATGGGCTATCAAACACTCACCAATCCAGAATTCTCTGCTCCTCAAGACTATACCCAGCAGGCAGCAGGTAATTACGGTAGTTTTGGAGCTGGTTGGCATGGCAACTGTCATGGACCCAGACATGAGACACACAAGGAATTCCACTGGCAAGGCACAGGAAGTACTTCCGAGTTCGACAATGCTGATCAGCAATTAGGAGACACTGGTAGGCTGTGTTACACTAGAAGAAAAGGAGCCCAGCTGACAGGTCTGGTGGTGTCTAGGGAAACCATTCCTTATTAGCTACACCTGATAAGCCCTCTAGAGCAGATGTGCAGACTTCCTATATGGAAATTAAAAATACCATCTAATCTGTTTTTGTACCTAAGGCTGTGTTGCTCACTGAGAAGCCCAAAACTGCTTTCTGAGACATTTTCCCTACCTCACCTACAGCCTAAATCTCAAGGTACACCAGGTACCCAACCTTCCAGGCCAAGGAATCAGCATCAATAGGCTTTCTATTATATAAGTTCAATCTGTTGCTCTCTCAACAGAGCCACTACCACCTAACCCCAGGTTTTGCTTCTCTTCCTTGTGTACAACAAAAATTCTGTACTGAGGTGGCATAGTGGGACAGTACCCCAGAATTGAGCCAACCTCTGCCACCCCTCTTGGACCTTTTCTCAATATAGAAAGTGTACAGCAAAAAAAAAAAAAAAAAATATTCTTACCTGGGCTTCATTGAAGTCTTCAAGGATATACCCAGCTCCTGCTCGAAGCTGGCATTCTGTATACTGCTTGTTGAAAGGAGGAATTTCTAAAAATTCTATATATAAAAGAAACAACCAAGATTATTCAAGAATTATTTAAGAACAATAGTTGGTTTCTTAGTGCTACTTTAATACTTATTTATAACTGCTTCCCTTTCTTTTCTGCAGCTATCTATTAGGGTTTAGACAGGCACACAGATTAACTTGAGGAACTGAACAGCCTGTATCCCCCATTGTTCATAGTCAGCTTTCTGAGCTATATAGCACCAAGTAACAAAGGCCTATATGGAACTGCCTTGTGAAGTCTAGGTTGTTAAAGCAAAAATAAGGCAAAGAAAGAATCATCTTTAACATAATGACAGACTGCTGCAGGGAATTCTCAAGGGACTGCTAATACTGACATCAGGCTAGGTCACTGCTTGCATACTTTTTCTTCTATGGCACCTGTCTGGGTTTTATGTGATTCGAACTTCAGCCATTCTCATAGCCTAGCTAACCGCCACCAGAGCAGCTCAGATTTTGCATATGCAGCTTCCAAATCATAATCTTAAATGTAGCTCCCTGGTCATGCTTCCCAAGTCCTATACATATGTACATATGGCTATAACTGGTGAGTAGTTAGTCATCACACATCTTCAGTTGTACCATTTTATGACAATCATATTCCCTTATTTTGGTTCCTTCCTGTAAGACTCAACATTAGTCAAAACTTTAACTTTCAATACAACATTCCATCTAGTTCTTAGCTTGGACAGGCATTTGGAGACAGACTACTGTCACTCATTGTATACATTTGATCTACACAGTGTCTCCTATACCACTTATTTGTCGGACCTTTGAAATACATTTTACCCCACCCAACTACAGACACCTAAACACAGAGTAATAGATGCCACATACATGTGGCATAAGAACTTATTTTAGAGCCAGGTGTGGTAGTGCATGCCTTTAGTTCCAGCACTGGGGAGGCAGAGGCAGGTGGACCTTCTCTGAGTTCCAGGTCAACCTGGTCTACAAAGCTACAGAGAGAGACCCTGTCTCGAACCCCCCCCCCCAAAAAAAAAATCGAAAGGACCTAGAAGCTAATTTTTCCCCAACTATATATATATATACAGTGTGTGTGTGTGTGTGTGTGTGTGTGTGCGCGCGCGCGCGCCTGTGTCTATATAGTATGTAAAATCTACCAGCTGCTTATCAAGACTATGTTGAGAACCACTCACTAAGAATTTTGTGAAGATCTACAGACCGGAAGTAGGGGACAAGTGAATTTTACTTCCTTGACCAGAATCACAGTTAACACTGGTTCACTACCCCACAAAGTGTGCATGGATCAGTGCCCCCCGGGAACTTACCCTCCTCTTCCTCACTGCTTCCTGTAGGACCATCTATTAGTTTAGAGCGGCTGGCCAGCTTATCGTTGGTTGTGGCCATGGTGAGGAGAAAGGCATAGCCCAGAAACAAGGTCTTATTGAGGGGCAAAGGCCCTCTTGGCTCTTCCAGGACAGAAGGTTCAGCTGTGTTGTCTCCACTCTCACAAGGGCTCACAAATTCTGCCCCCACTGTACCTAGGAAGACAAAGCACTAAAATGACATACACTGACCACTGCCTGGACAAAAGGCCCAGCACCAAGGATGACTTGATAGGCCATGACTGATGAGCTATGACCAAAAGATCATTAATACAGCCAATCATTCTAAATGGCCGACAACCTAAGACCAAATTTACAATTAAGACAAAATAACATTTAAATCTAACTTGACCATTACATTGAGCAGTCTGCTATTTTCATATATGGAAATCAACTGGTACTACTTCTATAACACCAAATACTTCCAAGGCTCCAGAACAGGAAAGTATAGTATTTGGAAGTCTTCAACCCACTTTCACCACCCAGGTCTCTGATTTCCCCAGAATGTGACATTTTGATGCAACTTTTAAAGGACAGACAAAACTGTCCCATTCTATCTTGGACTCTCACCAGGATAGTGAAGTGACTTCTGAGTGAAAAGGTGTCTTTACACAGAGTCCACATCAAAATGCCCTTCAATACCTGGGAAGGTAAGTGAGCCACCATTCCAAAACACCCATGCTAAGATGTGCCCAGTAAGTCCTCCAGAAGGAAATGGGTACCTACTGAAGAAGCCGAGTCAGGTTCATTAGGAGGCTAAGATGACAGCAGGTCATGCATGCCTCCCTGAAATAAAACCAACATCAAGAACAGTCTCAGATGAAGGGATGCTGTGTGTATGACACTGGACTTTGGGGTCAAGCTTGCCCAAATCTTATTCTGTCACATTGAGAAAGTTGCCTAACTTTTTTTAGATTCTTCAAAAATATGGAAAATTAATTCTAGCACATATACCTTAAGGGATTATATATGAGGGAATATGAGTAAGCACGTGGGCCGCATACCACACTCAAAATATTTAATAAGGGTTAGCTATACACAACAGTGGTATTTGGGTGGGTAAGCAGATAACACAACTCAAAAAAAAAAAAAAAAAAAAAAAGGATCTGGTGCCAAGGCAATGAAATGTGGATTGTCACCAACAAGCTAGCCTGTGAGAGCCCTACCCAACAGTGACAGGACTTTACTTCTATCTACAGAAGCTACCACAACCAGGTCTAGGTCACAGCAGATAATGAACAAATGGCTGAATTTTCTTCACACTGAATAGAGGTGATTGGAAAAGAGTGGGTCTGGGAGAATAGAGATTCAGGCTGAAGCACAACCTTTCACTAGGAAATGGCAAAGCCCAAGCACAAGAAGCAGATGGATGACACAGGCAGAGGACAAGATCTAAGGACAGGAGGAATTTCACCATTTTGAGTCTGCTGAAACTTCCATACTTATATTCCCCCAAAGAACCCACATAGGAACCTGTGATAGTCTTGCCCTTCTGTCTACACTGCTGGGCAGATTAGGAACAGAGCTTCTAGCTGTATCACCTGTAGGCTTGTGGATTCCAGTCTGACCAACACACAAAGAACACCCATGTACTGTGCTCCCATCTTACCAGGTTTCACGGTGGCAGACTTGCGGCCTCGCTTAGCAGGGGACCGTTCCTCTTCAGAAGTAATGAGTTTCCTTTTGCCTGATGGAACTCCTGTGGATGCACGGGGACTCTCTGTGGTTTTACGGGTGGGTGTTGTGCTGCTGCTGCTGCTGGAGGCAGTAGGAGTGGCTGGGGAGCTGATGTTACTGCGACGTTTCCGTTTTCCTTCCACCAAATTATCTGATGGGTAAGCCAAAGGTTGTTAAGATCCCATGGTCTTAACTTAAATCTGACACAGATATCAAGCACTGTACTCCCACAATCAAGGAACCTCTTTTAAGCCATACATTGTATGTTCTAATCACTGCCATGAGTGAGACATTTTGCTCCCCCCTGTAGAACTAAGAAGACCAAAAAAACTAGACACTTCTCATTTGCTACTTGGAAGAAAACAAGTATAGCTGTAGTTCTGGGAAACTACATCATCATCTAATAAATCACAAGACAAGTCAGGTAACCTGGATGCTCTAGAAACTGTCCTCCCTTCTCTAAGCAAAGTACAGATCTGCAGGCAGTTGTCCAGAAAGGTCTTACCTAGGCTGATATCTGCTGCCTTTGTGAGGGGTGTGACAGCTTCATATGGGCCAAGCCCATATTGCTCTCTTAGTCTGTTTCCTTGCTCCAAGGACAGGATGACTGCCATCCGCTTATACCACTTCCTTTGGCCTTCCTTTTCAATGCTATAGTACAGCTCCCCAGACTCCTTCCTGTGTCCTTTGACCACTCCTGGGGATGACATCATAAAAGATACCATAATTGTAGGCTGCTTAGCACCCTCAAAAGGGCTACAAAAGCAGGCCTGCAACAGGCAGGGAACAGAATCAACAACAGTAGAATGAATCAGGCCTTTACAGAATTCTAGCTGTCCATTCCAAATGGTTTACAACACTTGGGACATACAGCTACTACACTGGGATTAGACGAGGCTTTATGAGAGAAAGCAACCTTTAGTTATACAATAAAGTTAACAGCTCAAATGGGACCCCTGAAGTGAATGTTATGGTTTCTTAGCAATCCTTGTAGCAATTTCCTATTGTAGTTTCTTTGAAGAATGACATATAGTCCTAAATTACAGGTGAAAATGACAGTTCTAGGAGAACATATATGTACATGCTTGTCTATTGTGTAACAGAGCCAGGATGGAGACAGCAAAGAAAGTAGAAAAAACCCTGCTCCTTCTATCTGACCTCCTCCTCCTGCACTGAGGCATAACCATGGATGGCTATTAGGTTAGGAGCACAGTGCAGGGCAAACAAGGAAACTGGGGTAGAACTCAACTGACCTGAGCTTAGGCCTAGTTCTGTTTTGGAACAATTGTACAAGATCTATTTCTAATTCTGTGGGGAAAAAAATGAAAACAAAAAAACACTCCTTCCTCTCTATCAACCAATAAACAGCATATATCTCACACAGGACATAAAAAGGCACATCACTGCTGAAATTTTTCATTCCTATGAACAGAAGGGAACATTTCAGTCACCATTAGCTCATTTTTAATGAAGAGCTAAGGAACCCAGCTTCCTACCAGGGAAAATCAAGGAGGGGAAAGCAGATCCTAGTCCTCCTACTCTGCCATAGAATCACTTTCTTTACTCATCTCCTAAGTTAAATCTATCACCAAATAAATCAGGAAGACCACCTCAAATTTACAAGCCCAAGGCCAAAAAGACTCATCACTAAGGAAGAGCCACTATAACTAGAAGCAGTGAGGTATGACATTGGTAAATAGCCTTAGGAAATAGAAGGCTGAATCCCCATCCTTTAATGTACATTTACACATGATAGGAAAATACCTTCAAAGGGCCAAATGTGAACCTCTAAAATGGCTTTATACTCAAAAGAAAACCACATGCAGATTATGCATACAAACCATGAGCTACCAGTCCATGTACTACTACTAACTGTGCCACACAGCCAACAGTGTTACCTATTAGTTCCACAAACACCGAAAACAAGGGTGCAAACAGCAATTGAGAATCCCTGAACAAGAAAGCCTGGAAGATCTGAACAGAAAAGCATGTTCAACACAGTATCCAGAAAGAATGTTTCTAAATAACAGTCGACACAAAAGGTACCCTAAAGATTAGCTAAGAAGGGACTATATATATTCTCAGAATTAGAATGTAAAACAGTAAGAGTACACACAAATCCCTCATGTTACCAACACTGGCTACTACAAAAAGAAAGGCAGTGACATGAAAAAAACAAAGCAGGGTACCATTCTTTAAACCAGAAAGCAACCAACATGCAGCGTGCTCTGAGCTAACGCTTCTTCCTGTTAAACCACCCAGTCTTCAGCTGAGTTCTTAGCAACGTAGGCAGCGAGTCTGAAAGTCAGAAGTGAAAGAAGACAATACAGAAGGGGAAACACTAATGCTGAAGTGGGGAGGCCTGGGAAGGACCACCTTACCTAGTGACAAACTCACATCACCAGTGATGCCACGTACCTCCCTCAACCCCACAGATGATAGGAAGGGCACTTCATCTCTATGACATTCTTTACAGTGAATTCCAGTCTAGTTAGAAAACATCAGACCTGATTGGAGAGACATTTTATAAAATACCTATCATTCATCAAAACTGTCAAGGTCATAGAAAAACAAAAGATAGAAATTGCCACAAACCAGAGGAGACCAAACAAAACATGGTAACTAAATGTAATGTGGTATCCTCAACTGGATTCTGAAACAGAAAAAGGACATTATAGAAAAGATAGTAAAATCCAAATGAAGTTTGGAGCTAATAGTAAGGGATCAAGATTGGCTTCTTGGTTTGGATAAACATATCAGACTAATTTAGAATGCTACACATAAGGTATGCTAAGTGAGGAACACACAGGAATCCTCTACCCTAACACCATTTTGTACCTGGCAAAATTTAATTCCATAATTATTCCTAAATATGTTTACTGAAAACCAAGCCATAAACAAAAAAGTCAATGGCAAAGGCAGCCAGTGGAATCTGTGACTTGAGAGATCCAGTAAGGGGAGGAATGTCTTGGTGATTACTGACAGGATGGACCAATAGGGACAGTGTATCTATCAGTAGGGACTCTGCTTGCTTTATTACCTGCACTGAAATACTCATCTTCTGAGAGGGCTGTCACTTCAGTGTCCAGAGGTATGGGGTCACAAAGGAGAATGTCTTTGCCCAGCACATCACATTCATACCCATCATCGAAGAGCAGCTTATATTTCCCAGCTCCAACATCCCGTGTGATTTTCCCAGAGTAAAAGTAGCCATTGGATGACCACTTGGCTACAACACGGAGCCCCACAAAGCTATTTCCTGGAGATGAGGCATCTAAGCCATCAGAAGACCCAGTAGCAACTTGAAAAGGAATCTCTGGGGAATCACTCCGCTTCAAAACAGTAGAACTGGCATCCATTCGTTTGGTAGAGTCTGGCACACGGGGCATAATTCGGGTGAAGGACTTGTCATCTGGTGACATGCTAGGTGAAATGTCTTCTATGCCCAACGGACCAGATACAACTGCTTCTCTAATGAGAGATAAGAGAAGGAAGTGAGAACAAGAAAGGACCTATCTACCAAACCCACTGTTTTACATATAGATCTCGTCAACCCATTCTTTAGCAATCCCACCAAAGGCATTAGCCCAATCTCATTGGCCTTAGTCAGTATGGGCCCATCCTCTCCCTCTGATACTCTATGTACTCTATAATCTCTTCTCTCTACTCCCCCTTATTTTCAACATTACCCAGGTACCTTGTTCCAGTGGTTCGAGAAGGTGGACGGCCCCTTCGACCACGCCCACGAGGTGTGACTGGAGCCTTCCCTCCCTGTCTGATGCCAAGGCCTGCATCACCATCTTCTTCACACACTGGTGCCCCTGTCTGATTGATCCCTTTTCTAGGACTAGAGGATGAACACAGGTTAGTTTGACAGCAGATGCTAATGAATGAATCCTTTAACATCTTCCCAGGACCTTCTAACTATATGCCAAGCAATTTGTGCTACTCCACCAGGGCAAAAGAAAGCTGGTTCACAATACCAGTCAATAAGACCTCAGCAAGGGAGCAAGGGGGAAATGGGATAAAAGGACCTTTTCCTGTGTGAAAGTCTATTCTCCCCTGACATAGTTTCTGCTGCTATTTAAGATGCCACACCCATTTCTGTCCTGCCTTCTCTTCTACTTCAGGCTCTGGATACCCATTGAGTAGATCAAAGACCAAGTAGATACAGCACAATGGGGCCCCATTTCAACCTCCTGTATTCCCAACCAAAATATAGATAAGCTGAAGAATATAGGGACAGCAGAAACATGTATAGAGCACCTCCAACATTGCCTAAGGAGCTCCTTTGCCCACAGGGTTCTCCCCCAGCAGCCCCAAACAGAGGGGAAGAAGCACTGATTTATCCTGGCTTGAGGTGGGACATCCCCCATTACTCCTTCCCCAAACTCTGCAGGGTCTACTAGAAACCATGTCTGCACCTCAGTTTTCCTGGGCCTCCTCGGGAACTGGGTAAAACAAAATCTGCAGGCTCTGTCCCGCTAGTTTTCCCTTTGAGTGGCCCAGCTCCTCGCCCTGAGCTGCCACTGCTGTGCATAGCTGAGAGACTTGTCCCACTTGATGTGTGATGTGAGCTGGATGCTTTGGAAGAGAAGGAGCTGATGTCCCCCAGGTCTCCAGAGGAGCCTCCAGTCTGGGAAGGGGAAACCTCTGTTTCACATTCCTGACATTCTACGATTGGTTCTTCAGTCTCCTGTAGAGAAGAAACAGACAAGAAGCTATAAGAAACCACGCTAACATAAAACTAAGTGATGGCAGGCAAATCCTAGAAACTGCAGGAAACATCACTGGAATCAGGAGGGAATGTGCTAAAGCAATGCAAATAGTCCATCTGTCTGAGCCATGGTTACATAAAAACTTTCAAAGCATAGCCAGGTATGATGGCACACACCTTTAATCCTAGCACTTGGAAGCAAAGGCAGGTGGACTGCACATTTGAGACCAGCTGGTCTACATCTCAAGTGTCAGGCCAGCCAGGGACACACACAGTAAGACCCTTTCTCAAAATCAATTAAGTAAATAAGTAATTTTTTAAAAAATAAACTTGTTCAAAGCTACTGAACCAAACATTTAACATGTGTTACATGTAGCAAAAAAATTAAGAGGACAGAAAACTTTCTATGGTTTATGATGGTAAACTGTCTTTTTACTGAGCAAGCTCACAAGTGTTGACTACTAGCAATGATTTTAACCCAGAAGGCAGAAGCCATTTCCCAGTAAAAGAGAAGAGAGCTAAGGAGGATGGTGAAAAGCAGTGGTCAGGAGCCATTCTGGAGAACTCATTAACACTAGTTCTTTTATACTACCTTTAATAAGTGACTAAGAAGCCAGGCGGTGATGGTGCACACCTCTAATCCCAGCATTTGGGAGGCAGAAGATCTCTGAGTTCAAGGCTAACCTGTTCTACAGAGTGAGTTCCAAGCAGCCAGGGCTATACAAAGAAATCCTGTCTTGGGGGGGGGGGGGGAAGGTGATCAAGAAAATAGAAAATTTGTGTTTGTTAAAATGAAGACAAAAAAAATTATTGGAGCTGAGGATGTAGCTCAGTGGTAAAGCCTGAGTTTACAAACTGCCCTTCTTCCCCATTCTCTCTAAAGGTAGTACCAAAGTCTATTCTCCTTTTTTGCCACTTCTTTCTCCTGAGGCTGACTACCAAGATCCAGCTACCAAAGTATTAAAATCCAGCAATCAAAAGCCTCCTTTGGCTGTCCTAATTCACATTTGCAATCAGAAGTAAACACCCCATTCTAACACAGGGTTTCTTTCTCTCTATCCAGAGGCAGTCCTTTGTCCTCCAGGATAAATACCCCTTCCCCTTCGTCCTCTGTCTCCTGTCTTTGACTCTTATTCCCTGCCCTTTGTCCCTCTGAACAAATAAATCTCCTTTGTGGTGAGAACTTGGTCTTGGGGGTCCTGAACTGATACTGGTCCCTTCACAATTAGTTCCAAGCTCCATCCAGCATGGGTAGAGGAGGCACATATTCTAGTGAAAGTGGCGGCACACACCTTTAATCCCAGGTGAATCTCTCTTTTAGTTCAAGGTCAGCTGATCTACATGCCAAGTACCAGGGAGAGGGAGGGAAAGAGGGAGGAAGAGATGGGGGGAGGGGAGAGAGATCACCAAGGCTATATAATGAGACCCTATCTCAAAAGAAATTAATAATAACAAAGAATTTCTGATAGGTACAAACCAAAAAATGTCAACCTGGCTTCCCCTTATATGCACACTCGGCTGCTAGCTAGAGCTCAGCTATGTGGCAGCTAGTGCAACTGACCCGAGGCATGGTAGGGAAAGGGTATGGGACTAAGCTATCACATCCTCAACAGGTACAACAGAGGGAAATGGGCTACACAATAGTTGTCTTCCTCATCTAGAATGTTTACAGACCTTTGTGCTAACTGACATGGTGTGGAAAAGGATGACTCCTCTCAGCGAGTCCAGTCTCTCGACAAAGACAACCACCACACACATTTATGCAATACTATAAGGTAAGCAAATAGCAGGCTTTTATTTATTCCTTCTGGAAGATTACTCCTCTAATAATCCAGGGTTGGGGGAAGCACAACAGCAAGATGGCTCATCATATGTCTAGTGACCCAAGTCTGATAACCCAGGACCACATGAAGCAAGGAGAAAGCCGATAAAGCCGTCTCTGACCACCACACATGGGCCACTGTACACCCAGCACACCCACACAAAATGAATAAATGTCAAAATGAAAACAATCCACAGGGTTGGGGTGTAGCTCCAGTTGGTAGAGTGCTCCCCTCACACACATGTGGCCCCAGGTTTGTCATAACACAAACTAAGGTGGAGACAGAAAGATCCAAATGAAGTTCAAAACCAGCTGCATCGTAAGTTAAGAGGCTTGAGTCTCCTCACAAGCAAAACCTTGTCTAAAGAAACAAACCAGCTGGGCAGTGGTGGCACATGCCTTTAATCCCAGCACTCAGGCAGAGGCAGGTGCATCTCTGTGAGTTCAAGGTCAGCCTGGTCTACAGAGTGAGTTCCAGGACAGCCAGCCAGGGATATACATACAGAGGAACAGAACCCTGTCTCAAACAACAGAGAAAGACCAGAGAGGAGAGAGAGAGAAAGAGCCTCAGGAAGGTAGGACACGCCTTTAATCCCAGCACTGGGGAGGCAGAGGCAGGTGGATCTCAGGCACAGGAAAGGGGTGAAGGCTGAAAAGGGGAAGAGAAGAGGCAGGAAGAAGGAAAAGATGGAGGGGAGGGGAAGGGACTGGAGGAGGAAAGGGGAAGTGTAGGGAGGGAAGGGAAGGGGGAGGAAGGACGTAGGTGGACCCAGGTGTTACCTCAGTTACTTTCCTTTCCACTTCTGTCCCATCCACGTAATAAACATCTGTGATGACACGGGTGACAAGTGTGCGGACTTCACGAATCGTTCTCATGTGACGATGCAACACATGGCCATGTGGAGGCTGGGGCATTTCAAATTCTTCTTCTCCCTACAACAAAAGGTAGACCACGGTAAGAAGAGAACCAACAGAGACAAGGCCGTCATAGCTCTCATGTAAACTGTCAGATGAATGCACTTCCGAGAACTCATGGGTCTGCCATAATTATTATTCCATTTATTTACAGATAACAGTGGGGACCAGCCAGGAGAAGGCTCAATCACAGTATCTAACACACTATTTTTAGATTATAATCACTCTAATTTTCCTTTTTTGTTTCTTTCTTTGTATAGCTCAGACTTATCTTCAACTCACTATGTACCCCAAGCTGCTCTCTCCAACTCATGATCCCCCTGCCTCAGCTTCTGGTAAGTATTTGTCAGCCCACTCAGCCACTCCTCCTAATTCTCATGACAACAGTGCTTTACCTAAAAAGTAGGTGCTCTTTGATCCTTAGAGGAGACCAGAATCAAAACCCATTAATCAATCAGTGAAAACCAGTTCATTAACAAAAAAAAAAAAAAAAAAAAAAAAAAAATCATTGCTTTCTCTGGAGTTTAAATGGGAAACTCTTCATCTGTTCCAAGAAATAGACTTGGGGATTTTGTTAATTTGTTTAGACACGGGGTTGCCCTACAGGCTGGCCTCAAATTCAAAGATCCACCTCAAATTCAGAAATCCACTTGCCTCTGCCTACTCACCAATGTGTACTGCCCAGTTTTATGTCAACTTGATACAATCTAGAATCATCTGGCAGGAAAGATCCTCAATTAAGAAAACACCAGGGCTGGAGAGATGGCTAAAAGGTTAAGAACACTGGCTGCTTTTCCAGAAATCCTAAGTTCAACTCCCAGCAACCACATGGTGGCTCACAGCCATCTATAATGTGATATCTTGTTCTGATAAGCAGGCAGAGCACTGTATGCATAATAAATAAATAAATAACCTTCCATAAGTAAGATCTGGCTGTTGGGCATTTTCTTACTTAGTGATTGACATGGGAGGGTCCAGCCCATTATGGGTGATGATACCCCTGGGCTGATAATCCTGGTTCTATAAGCAAGCAGACTGAGCAAACCATGAGGAGCAAGCCAGTAAGCAGCACTCCTCCATGCCCTCGCATCAGCTCCTATCTCTAGGTTCCTTCCCAGTTTGAGCTCCTGCTTTAGCTGCCCTGAATGACTATGACTTAGAATATGTAGGTAAAGATAAACCTTTTGTCCCCAAGTTGCTTTTTGTCATGGTGTTTTGTCACAGTAATAGAAATCCCACTGAAGACATAATGGATTTTTAACTGAAGGGTTAAATTACAATGCTGAGCATGGTGGTGTACACCTATAATCCCAGAATGTGTACATGAAGGGAAGAGATCAGTTCAAGGCCATTCTTAACTACATAAGCAAGTTTGAGGATAGTCCCTAGGCTCCCTGAAACACTATTGGAAAAAGAAAAAAAAAAAAAAAAAAAACTACAATAGTATCCAAAATAACAAATTAAGATTTTTATATCTAGAGCTAGAGAGATGCTCAGTGGTTAAGAGCTCTTACTGCTATTGCAGAGGGCCCTGGAGTTAAAGTCCCAGCACTCAAATGGCAGCTCACAACTGTCTATAGCCCCAGTGCCAGGGAATCTAGCACCCTTTTCTGGCCTCCATGGGTACCAGGAATGCACTCCACTCAGGGCAGGACACTTACATATATATGCAGGCAAAACATTCAGACACATAAAATAAAAAGAGACTTTATATCTAGTTTGCCATAAAAATAATTTGAACAAAACCCTGTATTTTGTGACAACTGTTCATATTATTATTTCAAGAAAAATAAGCTTTCATTCAAAAATCACTAAGCAAACATTTGGTAAACAGCTTATGGATACCATGCGCTACATTATACATGTAATTCATTCAAGATGACAAATTTAAATGCATTATTATCGATTAATATAAATACAACAAATTAAGAATTCTTAAATCACTATTCAGACAACCAGATAACAAGAATCAGGTTGTTTCATGATCATAATTTCTTCTATGTATGTACATGTCTGTCTATGTATGTGTGTGTGCGCATGTATCTATGGGTGTCTACAATTACTCTCTCCCTTGAATCTAGAATTTGCCAAATTGACTAGACTAGAAGCCAAGCAAGCCCCAGATCTTGCCTTTGCTTCCCCAGTGCTAGGGTGGCGGGGTACACACTGCTCCATCGGGCTACTTTACATGGGTTCTGGGGAGATGGAACTGCAGCACTCATGTTTCAACAGTGAGCACTTTACCAATCAAGCTATCTCCCCAACCCTCATGTTAATAATTTCTATTGCCCAAATGGGGCCCAAGACTATGCTTTCGTAGGCTGTGAATTACAAACGAACTGCTTGCACTCTAGATCTTACAGTCCTGCACACTTATCCTAACTCCTTAGAGCCTCCAATATTCACTACATAGGACCTGCTGGTAGCTGAAATTTGTCAGCATTGTGTGTTTTCTCCAACACCTCTACCACACCTCTCAACACTCTCCCCACCCTCACCCCGACTGGCTCTGCAATTCTAAGAAAGAAATGCACTGCTCACACCTCACTTCCCACATGGTAGGACAATTTTACTTTCAACATCAATATTGAGTCTTTCTCACCACAATAAAGGTAATTCTTTGTTTTTCTTGGCAATGGGTAGTAATTTATGTGAAGCTTTCAATAATATAACTGAATAATCCTAAGTCCAACTTTACCTATGGAGTGAAATTTCTACTAAAATGAAGCTGTAAATAACATTTTAAAACATGCATCCTAGCAGGCATTGGTGGCGCATGCCTTTAATCCCAGCACTCTGGAGGCAGAGGCAGGTGATCTCTGTGAGTTCAAGGCCAGCATGACCTACAGAGCAAGTTCCAGGACAGCTAGAGCTACTACACAGAGAAACCCTGTCTTGAAAAACCAAAAACCAAAATAAAAGCCCCCAAAAAAACCATGGATCCTAAACCAATTCTTTAAACTACTTCTATATATGCAACTTCGTTGAATGAGATTGGAGCACAGCTGTTGCATGTCAACAATGGGGCACACAATGCACCTGAAGTGCCTTCTGCAAACTGACTGTTCCCCACTAGCTGGTTCATCCTGCCCCTTGGGATCTCAAATGGTTTCTACCTATACAAATAAACACTTCAAAGGCCAGACTTAACCCCATCCGATAAAATAAGAGTCAGGAGAAGGAAGGAAGACAACCCGTGCTAACTTCTGAAAAGAGGTCTCTAAAGTTTAATGACTTGAGAACTATGCCATTGTTAATGGGTGGGGGGAAGTCATTTTCCTATCACAGAAAACATAGCTCCATATATAATTCCCACACACAGGGTTAGGGAGTGACAAGTGGCAGCCTGTGCTTTCTCCTGGCACTGTCCAAGTCCTAGCTACTTCAGAGATGTTTTTTTTTTTTTTAATGTCTGACACTCAGATAAACTCAATCTACCCTTTAACAGTCCTTCACAGGACAGCACACCAGTTCCAAGTTCCCCACATTCCACTTTCCAGAACTTTCCCTCCAATTAAGACTTTACCCATCCATCAACTACATTTTTCTAGCATCTTTTAAAAAAGGTTTATTTTTGTATGTGTGTGTGTTTTGAGCATATGCCACGTGTGTGAGCTGCCCAGCTCCGCCTCTGGAAGAGCAACAAGTGGCTCTTGATCCACTGAGCCATCTCTCCAGTCCCTGATACCTTTCTTAGCAGGAGAAACTAACTCTTAAACGCACTCTTTCATTCTGTGTTACATTGTAATAATATCTATCAAAAGTGGTTGCTGAAATAACATCCATAATTTATAGGTAGGAGCTGGAGAGATGGCTCAGCGGTTAAGAGTGCACACTACTCTTGCAGAGAACCCAAGTTCAGCTCCCAACACCCACACTGGGTAACTCAGAAATGCTGTAAGTCTACCCGTCATGGATACAATACCCTCTTCTGGATTCCCGTCACTTACACTACTGTGCACATTCTCACACACACATACACACACACACACACACACACTTTAAAATAAATCTTAAATTGGGGGGGTGGGAGTTGCTGGAGAGATAAGTTGTCAGTTCTCTTGCAGAGAACCTAGGTTTGACTCCCAGCACCCACATGGCAGCTCATAATTGTCTGTAACTCCAGTTACATGGATCTGACACTCTCTTCTGGTCTTTATGGGCACTTGCACTCACATGGCACACAACCCAGCAACACACACACATACACACACACACACACACACACACACACACACACACACACACAAAGTAAAATGAATGAATCTTTAAAAGAAAATCAATAGGAGACAGCGCCCACTGGTGTATTCAGATATGCCAGATGCAGCAGTGAGTGCTTTACCCCTCAGCCCTCAAAGCACCTCCATGCAGCAGCTAACCCTAGTCCTTACTGATCCTGAGAATCAGGGTAATTCCCATCTACAGAACATCAACCCCTCTAGGACAATCCTACCAATACGTGTGACCCCTACAACAAAAGCAATCCTACACAACATGCCTTATCCCTACTCAACTCCTCTGTCAATCTTTTTAATTAAAAAAAAATTATTAGCTGAGCATGGTGACACACACCTTTAATCTCAGCACTTGGGAGGTAGAGGCAGGAGGATCTTGAATCCAAGGCAAGCCTGGTCTACAGTGTTCCAGGCTAGCCAAGACTACACAGTGAAACTGACCCTGCCTCAGAAACAACAAACAAGACAAAAAAAATCAACAAAAAGAAAAAGAAATGTCATTGGAGCTGGGAAGAGATGGCTTAGTCAGTCAAGTGTCTGCCACACAGCAGTAAATGAGTTTAGATCGCCAGAACCAACGCTAAGGACAGTGGAGCACGTCTGCAGTTCCCTGCAGTGGTGAGATGGGGAGAGACATGACTTCTGACTCAGAGGTCAGCTAGCCTGGCTTATGTGGGGAAGTTTAGAACCAACGAGAGACTCTGTCTCAAACAAAAAGACAGAAGACCCCGAGGACCAACACCTGAGATTGTCTTCTGACTTTCACACATACCCGTGTGTACTCATACACACCCATGAGATTGTTACTGGAAGAACTAAACTGAGACCCTCAGGGGATGGAGTCTGTAGCTGGGCCCCTGGTACACCCAATGTGTACACACCTGGCTGTGGAGGGACTCTGTATCATCCGCGGGGGCCTGTTTCTCACCACTCCCCGTCTCGGTCTGCACAGTGGCATCTTGTTTCCCAGAGCTCTGGTCCACTGTACTGGTCCCCTGCTCACATACACTCTTCACGGTCTGGGTTGCCGCTGAAACAGTTTCTGGGGCACACAGGGAATGGTCCATGGTCTGGATTCCTATGTTACTCTGGGTGGGCCTTTCCATCAAGACCTCACACGGTTTTTCCTGGTTAGCACTCAGTCCTTCTGGCAGATCTGTTTCCATCGCTTCTCCTTGAGGGCTGAATGACCCCTGTGTGGCTCTCTGCTGGGAAACAGAAGAAGCAGAGTCCTCAGAAGCAGCAGCATCTCTGACAGGCCCAACGGGCCTCACAGGCTGTTCACTCTGCCTGAGCTTTGTGGCACCATCCAGCTTTTCTTTATCGTCATCTTCAACACTTGGAAAATGGAGCAAGTTTGCCCTGAAAATGAAACAAAGACAACATGTATCATGGTTTGAATACAGCTTATTCCTCTGAGCCAGTACAGGGGCACACATCTATAATCCCAGCACACAGGAGGCTGAGGATCATAGGACAACTAGAGCTATAATGCAATACTGCCTTAAGCATAAAACAATAAAAATAAAATACAGTAATTCCCATCATGATGACAGTATTAAAAGAATAAAAGCTAAATCCAACTGTGTACAGTACTTTAGAGTTGGACCTCTGAGAAGTAATTAAAATCTGACAAGATCACCAGGGGAAGGCATTCATGAATGAATACCGGTAGCTTCGTAAAACAAACATCTGCAGGGTATCTTGGCAACATGCCTTTAATCCCAGCAGTCAGGAGGCAAAAGCAGGTAGCTCTCTATGGTTCCCAGGCCAGTAAGGGCTACATAGTGAGACCCTGTCTCAAAAGAAAAGACATACATGTCCTCTCTTACTACATGACGCCCCACACTGTCTTAGAAGTCCACCATTGAGAAAGTCATCACCAGATGCAGCCCCTTAATCTTTAAGCACAACTGTGGGTCAAAATGAACCTCCTTTCCTCATGGTTTCCCCCAGCTGTGTGTGGTACTATCATTAGTGACAGAAAAAAAAACACACACACACAAGAAAACAAGGTCAGTAACAATATACAAAACCCTTAAAGCCCCATGCAATCCAAGGAACTTCACAATACACTTCAAAAAACCGTAAGCAGGACATTGAATCACTGCATGAAGGACACAGGGGCAGGAGGATCACTGTGAGTTTCAGCCCAGCCTGGTCTATATCAGAGTTCCAGCCAGGGATACATAATGAGACTATGTCTCAAAAAGAAAACGATCACTTAGTCCTGAAGCCTCATTGGTTTTAATGAATGGCTCTAACATTCTTTACTGACTCCTACACTATGCTGAGGTCTGCTCTCTCCTTAACAGTAATTTGAGAGGAAAACAATCTTCAAAGAAGACAGTTGCAGGCAGGAGTCTGGTCTTCCTGGGTCACGTGGTGATGACAGCATGTGTCCAGCTTCAGGGCTGAGCTCCCAGGACATAACTTTACCTAACCACTTCAAAACACCTGTAAGATATGGGCCCAGCTCTTCATTAGTCCTTCCATTTGGGAGCCAATGTGTCTTAATTATGTTTCTATTGCTGTGACAAAAACCATGGCCAAACAACTTGGGGAGGAAAGGGTTTATCTGGCCTATAATTTACAGTCTATGGTCAAGGGAAGCCAGGGCAGGAACTCCCAGCAGAAACCTGAACACAGGAACTGGAGCCAAGACCAAAGCAAAAGCGCGGCTTACTTGGCTAGCTCTCCAAGACTTGCCCAGCCTGGTTTCTTGTAGAACCCAAGACCACTTGTTGAGGAGTAGCCCCGCCCTCAGTGAGTGGGCCTTTCCACATAAATCACTAATTAAGAAAATGCTGACACAGACAAGCCTACAGGCTACCAGAGGCAATCGGTCGGTTTAGATTCTTTCTTCAGATATGCCTAGATTTATGTAAAATTGACAACAACAAAAAACCAATCAGCACACAGTGACTGACTTATCTACCCTTTAAGCATTGCCTGAATGTTGCCTAGAAGCCAAATACCACAGTTTCCAAAGTGACTGCAGATTCTAAAAGTTGAAGTTCTCTAGAATAAGAAACCTAGGCTAAAGCTGGTGGTGGCACACACCTTTAATCCTAGCACTCAGGAGGTAGAGGCAGAAGGATCTCTGAGTTCCACACCAGCCTGGTCTACAGAGTGAGTTCCAGTACTGCTAGTCTGTCCTAGAAACAGTCTCAAAAAAAGAAACCTGTTTCAAAGAATAACAAACAAACCCAGGCTAGCTCTAAGCAGGTTACACATAAATGTGTCTTTATATCTAAAATGCTAACCACAAAGCTGACAGAATACAGGTTATCTTAGCTTGGTTTCTATTGCTGTGATAAAACACTGACCAAAAGCACCTTGGGGGTAGAAAAAGATTTATTTGGCTTACAGATTTCAGTCTATCATCAAAGGAAGCCAAGGCAGGGACTCACAGAAGGACCAGGAGGCAGGAACGGAAGCAGAGACCATGGAGGAATGCTGCTTACTGGCTAGGCTTCCTCTGGGTTGCTTGGCTACCTTTCTTATACAACCCAGGCACACCTGCCTAAAAATGGTACCACCCACAGTGAACTGGGTCCTCCAATTACTATTAAAATGCCTCATAGACATGGTCACAGGTCAATCTAATCTGGAAAATTCTTCAGTTGAGGTGTGATGGCTCACACCTGTAATCCCAGCCCTCAGGAAGCTCGAGGCTAGAAGATGGCTGCAACTTTAAGGCCTGCCTGGGCTATGCAGATGAGTTCTAGGTCTGCCTGAGACCTTCTAAAGTCTAAAGACTTTCTTTAAAATAAATAAATCCATTCTGAACCGATAGTGTCCCAGCCTTTGAAAATTGTATATGGTTATAAGGGGCCTGGAAACAACACTATATTGTTACCATGTGTCTGACCAGAGAAAAACAAAGCTTGGAGCTCTCATTCATAGCAGCTAAGCCTGCCAGGTGGATATAAAGAGCTTGTTAGAGCTCTCCTTGCTCGAGTCACGAGTAAAGAAGAGAACGTAGGTTTCACGGGGTTCTGTCACTCAGCACTAATAGGCGATGGACTTTCAATAGCCTTCAACCTAAAAGGAGCATCTTTGGTTATTGGAGTCTGTGCCCGATTTGTCAGGAACACTGGCTGAATGAGGGTCCACTGAGGACAAGGACAGAATGCACTACTAGGAAACACATGAGTAGCAATTAAGCTCTTCTTGAGATTTATGAATGATCATAAAATGTGAAAGAGCTGAGCACAGCAGATACAGCCAGATGCATAAAACAAAGCAGTGAAACAATTCACCTTCACATTCAAGTGTAACCTTTAAGACCACTAACACACAAGTAAACAGGCTGCCATGAAGGCCAACAGGCCTCAACTGCTACCACTGTTTCCCATCCTTAAACAAGCTTGCATATTTTACCTCACACCACAGAATGAATCCCTGAGGCTGCAAAACTCATAAACCCTAATACGCCCGGAGACAGCATAGAGAGGTACGGCCTTTGGGAAACTATCACATCACGAAGGTAGAACTGCCCTGAAAGTGTGGGTGCAGGCACTTGTAAACATAATCCCAAGGACTGCCTTGCAGGAAATGACCCTCTTTCAAACAGGTCTACCAGAATTAATCTAAGATAGTGGGGACTGTCCTGACCCCACAAATGTTAAGAAAGAAATTTCTGTGGTTCCCAAGCTCCCCAGAGTACAACAGTCATGGCCAAGGAAACTAAGACACCTCAGAAACTATGTATTGAGGGCAGAGCCTCTGAACAGAATTTTCATTAAAGCTGTTTTGTTTGGAAACCTTTTTTCTGCCTCCTGAGTGCTGAGACTAAATGTGTGCACCACTTTGCCCAGCTGGAACTATTGAATCTTTAAAGACAAGTGATGGGCCAGGCATGGTGGGACATACCTTCAGTCCCAGCAGGGACAGTGAAAAGTTGGAGACTAGCATGGTTTATAGAGTCTACATAGTGAGCTCCAGGGTAGCCAGGGCTACAAAGTCAGACCCTCTCTCAAAAAAAGGTCGGGGGTGAGGGAATGACTCTTTACAATATTAGCAGTATTAGCAGATTCCTACCAAACATCAGAAATTTGCTATTTCTCATTCTCCTATGAGCACTGGAAAAATGATTAATGCTAAAATTGTAGTCATAAACACTTAATTTTGGTTGACATACCTGTGTCAATCATTCCTGTACTCATGGTAGGGAAATGATGGAAATATAAGAATCTCTGAGCTCTTGAGTCATCAAATCTAGCTAATGTGTGAGGCTCCAGATTCAATGAGACACTGTCTCAAAAGAATAGGGAGGAGGGCTAGAGTGATGTCACAAGGGTCCATGGTGAATACGGACACTGAAGAGGATCCAAGCAGCACCCTCCAGTCAGCTCACAACCCACCACCTGTAACTCTAGCTCCAGAGCATTCAACACCATGAGTACTGCACCCATGTACACATCCACATAATTAAAAGAAAGAGGACAGGCTTGGTGGTACACACCTTTAATTCCAGCACTGAGACAAAGGCAGGCAGATCTCTATTGGTTCAATGCCAGCCTGGTCTACATAGCGAGTTTCAGGCCAGTAAAAGCTACATATTGAAACCCAGTCTCAAAAAAACAAAACTAATTAAAAGTTAAAATAATAATAAAAGAAAGAATAAGAGGCTAAGGAAGACATGCATGTTCACACACATGTGCATGCAGACACACATAAATGAGTATCTAAAAATTAATAAATAATAAGCTTGATGTGAGGTGCAGTGTCATGCATCTATGGTTCCTACTACTCAGGAAGCTGAAGCAAGAGCAATGCTTAAACCAGCCTGGGCCAAACAACAAACAACAATATAATCTAGCCATAAATAAACAAACAAGCAAATAAACAGACAATATAACCTAGCCATGAATGAATAAAGAAATAGCCAACTTCACAGAACAGTAACAATCAGTACCATGAAACAGAATCAACGAACGAACGAACAAACGAACAAATGAATGAATGAATGCAGCTGGAAATAAGCCAGGAGTGTTGATGCATGCCTTTAAACCCATCAGCCAAGGCACAGAGGCAGGCAGATCTCTGTGAGTGCAAGCCCAGCCAGGACTACTAAATGAAACCTGGTCTCAAAAAGAAAATCAGAAAATGTTTACCTGATGGGTACAGAGGGAGGATCTTCACTCTGAGCCTCCTCTTGCCTGCAGCTAAACACAGGCACCATCTTCTGGGGACTAAAATAACAAATTAAAGCAATGCAGCTTGCTAGTTTCAAATGGAAAGCACCTCTGGAGGGCACCCTCTTGAGACACAGAATTCCTCTACATTCCAAACTCCAATCCAATATTACCCCCAGAAGCCAACTCCTAATATGTTTCAAGTTAACACAATAAAAAAAACTTTTAAGTATAGGGATTAAAGAAATGTCTCTGTAGTTAAGAGCACTGGCTGCTCTTCCAGAGGACCCTAGTTCTATTCCCAGCACCCATGTGGCAGCTCACAACAATCCATCTGTGACTCCAGTTCCAGGGGATCTGATGCCCTCTGCTGGCCTCCACGGCACCAGGCGCATATGCGGTGTATAGACATAGGTGCAGGCAAAACACCAATACACACACAAAACCTTCAGAGAGGTCACTGTGGGAAAGCAGACTTATTAAACTCTAAAATGACTGAAAGAGAAAAATCCAGGATGTAGAAATCAAAATAGGACAAACAATCTAGTATCTTTAGGAGATAATTTGGAAAAAAAAAAAAAAAGAGGAACAAATGCTATGATTTAAAAAACAAACAAAAAAGCTGGAAAGCTGGTTGGTGGTGGCAACTGCCTTTAATCCCAGGGGATGCAGAGACAGGTAGATCTCTGTGAGTTCAAGGCCAACCTGGTCTACAGAGAGAGTTCCAGGACAGGCTCCAAATCGACAGAGAAACCCTGTCTCAAAAAAAAAAAAATCTACTGGATGTGATTTGTCGATCGGGAATCTTTTTTTTTTTTTTTTTTTTTTTGGTTTTTCAAGACAGTGTTTCTCTGTATGACAGCCCTGCCTCTGCCTCCCAAGTGCTAGGGCTAAAGGCACGTGCCATCACTGCTTGGCTAAGGATCTTGATTCTAACCAGGAAATATTACAAAGCAGGGAAATGGAAATACCAAATACTTTATAGCATTAACAATATGGTCAATTGTAAATAAGAATCCTTATCTTTTAGAGTTAGCATCGAGATATTACATAAAATGATATGAAGCTGGAATTATCTTCAAAATAACCCACTGGCAGAAGGGAGTACTCCAAGATTTTATAATCAGACTGGCACTTACAGTGTCGTTGTCCATATTACACTACTCTCTTGTCTACACTCTAGTCTTCCCACAGGAAAATGATTAAAAACTAAGGTGCATCAAGCACTCTGAACACTGCCCAGCTGTCTTCACACTCAAATGCAGAGAATGTAACAATCATCTGACCTCTGGAACTGGAGTTACAAACAGTTATGAGCTGCCATGTGGACTGGGAATCGAACCCAAGTCGTCTCAAAGAGCATGCAATGCTCTTAACCACCGAGCCAACTTCATCCCTTTTAAATGATTTCTTAGGATGAACCCAAAGGTCAAAAATTTTAACATACAATTCTTAAGCATAGATATGCACAAAGAACAAGTGCTTCATGGCAACACCAACAATTTTTATCTTTTTCCACGACCCACAGCCTCTGCTAAGCTTGCTCCTCGCCTTCCCTCCCTATATTCTCCCCAAAACTTCAGAAATCCACCGGGCAGTAGTTCTGGCAGCACATATGCCTTTAACCCCAGGACTCAGGATGCAGAGGCAGATGGATCTCCGTGAGTTCAAGGCCAGCCTGGTCTACAGAGAGAGTTCCAGGACAGTCAGAGCTACACAGAGAAACCCTATCTTGAAAACCAAAATAAAAAGTTTAGAAACCCACAGACAGTCAAATTTAGTCAGCAGGAACGTTATCTTTTTTAAAACTTAAAACTCTTTTCAAAATTTTAAATACTTGGCAATAGTAAGCTCGAATCCTTTTTTAAAAATTGTCACTTACTTAATTTATAATAGTACAGGACTGAACAAAGCCTTCACACTCAGGCAAGCGCTTCAACTGGGCTCTAGCCCAGCAAGCTCACTCAAAACCAACAACCACTGGCACAGGCAGGGCCCTCTCCAATGGGGCACACATGCAGCTGTCACCCTTGTGCATCCAGTAGGCTGCACACAGTGCCTGCCTGTCTGCCCGTGCTGACTTCAGAGTTTGCACTTGGACCTCACCAACCGCTCGCTGGGCTTCTCATGCTGGAGTGACTCATGCACAGACAACCACCCAATCCTATTCTCACAGCCGCCAGATGTCAAAGCTTCGCCGCCAATACCTAAGTACCCTGGCACACGTCACTCACAGCAGCATTCATGACAAAGCAAACACAGCTCAATATAGTTCATTTCGCAAGGAGAGTCAAAATGTCCTGAGGCTGGAGCTGAGTACACAACACAGAAGGACAATGTGTCTACAGCCATCTCCTTTGGTCCTTTGTCTTCCTACCTCAGTCATCCAGAGAAAGAGAAGAGAAAATGGGCACTCACATGAATGGGGGTGGTAACTATCAAGTATTCTTAACATTAAGGATAGCAAGTTTTGTTAGACTTACAATTACTAAGAAGGCCCACAATTCAACACATTGCTGACTCATTTATGTTGGATTTTTAGAGTCTTCCTGTGCTGCTAAATCATCTTCCTCTCTCCAAGCAGTACCTTTGTATTAAACTCCTCTAAATAACAATGAGCCCTGGTTACCTGGCAACAGGCTCAGCAGCAGCAGTTGATCCATTTTTTCTCTCAGCAGTATCCGGCTCTGGACAAAAACAAAAGCAACAAGAGAAAGGAAAGAGAAGCAGAATTCAGTTAGCACCAAATCTAAAGCCTCTCTCACTGCACCAGGAACAAAAAGAAATAGATAAGGAAGTCAGCAATCAACAGCAAGGACATACTGCTGCAGCACAAGTCTTTCTCATCTCTACCATTGAATTTTATTTCAAATTTCCTATAGAGAACATGTCTGCTTAGCGAGAACTGCAATCTGTAATATCTGTAAGTGAAAATTAAACCACCTGAATCACAACGCACCTCCCCATACCAGAAATTTAAAATTCATATGAGAAAATACAAAAGAAAACCTAAAAACGTTTTTTAAAAAAAGTTAGAAAAGCCAGGCAGTTGTGGCGTACGCCTTTAATCCCAACACTCTGGATCTCTGTGAGTTCCAGGCCAGTCTAGTCTACAGAGTGAGTTCCAGGACAGGCTCCAAAGCAATACAGAGAAACCCTGTCTCAAAAAACAAACAAACAAACAAAATGTTAATGTTTTGAGACAGGGTCTCTCCTAATGTAGACCAAGTTGGCCTCAAATTCACAGAGACCCATCTCCTTCTGCTTCCCAAGAGCTGGGATTAAAGGTGTATGCCACCATGTTGTGCTAAAACTTTATTTATAAAAGAAAAAAAACAAAACAAAATATGAATAAACTATGTGACAAGTCAAGTGTAGCATGATACATCCTTGTAATCTCAACATTTGGGAGGCTCAAGCAAAAGGCTCTCAAGTTCAAGGCCAGCCTGGACTATACAGTACTTCTAGGACAGCCTAGGATACACAGTGAAACTCTATCTCAAAATAAATAAATAATGAAATGTATGGGGAATTATTTTAAGGCAATATATAAATTCAATGATTCATTTGATTAACACTCACATGTAAAAGGCACCTAAGACTTTGCCAAAAGCAGAACTGGTTGCTCTTGTAAACAACCTGGGTTCAGTTCCCAGTTCCCACATGGTGGCTCACAACCACCATGGAACTCCAGTTCCAGGGAATCTGATGCCCTCTTCTGACCATCACAGGTTCCAGGCAAATACATGGTACATATGCATACATGCAGGCAAAATACTCATGCACATAAAAATAAAATATAAAATAAGTTAAAAATGTTTTTAAGGACACAAAAGAGCCAGCAAGAGGAACATGGTGTTTTCTTATCAGTGTCACTGTCAAAGGGATTAAATTGTGCTTGTTTCATTTGCAATTTATTCCAGTCTCAGAAAAAAAATAGCTTTAAAAATTTTTTGGACATTCACTAAACACTCATGACTTAGTGTATGTTCTACAGTGTATCATGTTCAACAGTGAGAGCCTTGTTCAGGGAAAGGTCGCTAGAGGCAGGCTCCTGAGCTTAGGCAGCCTAGGGTAAAATGCTTTGTCATTCTGATTGCAGTTTCCTTGTTTGTAACAGAAAAAAAAACAAGACCAACTTCACAAGCTGCTTTGAGGATGAAATGATGTCAATGAATCTGTGACCTAGGACCTGATGCCGTGTTCCCTGTAGTAAAAAAAATAAGATGGGAGGTACTGTTTACCAGCGTGACTGATCACCCTTACTTTTAGCGCCAACCAGCTAGATCTTCCCAGTCAATTTGAATGTTAACACATTCCCGCCCATTTTTCTCTTCCTCTTTATCCCCCTCCCTCCCCTACCTTCTCAGCTCAAAATGGCTGAAATCCTCCAGTTCTATTATCCCAAATGCCACCATCAGTATCTATCTCTTGATAAGCCCCTATTTAATCTCAAAGACAACAATAAAGGTGAAGTCCTGGAATGCTTCAACTCCCATTGACAGTCTAAATTCTAATCCATAAACCCTGAGCTCAGTCTGGTCTGGAGGATGGTCTATGATGGTCATGTCTTCAGTTTCAAATGAGTGAGGTTATTAAATATACAGCAGGAAAAAGAAAAAGAAAAAAAAGTAACTAGAAGCAATAGAAAAACATCATGCAATCAGGTGCTGAAACCACCCAGCAGAAACCAACTGGGGCAGTCCTGTGGCGGCAGCTAGCAAGGGAGTGGACATTCTCTCCCAGGCGGAGCGCACCTATCCTCTCTCCCACTGAGGGAACTTTCATGGCCTGGGGTGAGCAACGGCACACACACCTTCTTGCTATCCCTAAGACTACAATGTTGTTAACACCCTTAGCTGCTTGCTGTATCCTTTCTCCCTGTTGCATTCCCCAGGACAGGGGTTTTGGAAGACACATAAGCATCCTTGGCTCTGCACTAGGGGAGGGATGACTCCGCCCCCAGAACCAGCTTCCCAGGGAGCTCAAACAGCTATGAGAACTTACTAATATAATGTACATTACACTCCGAGAAACAAAACAGAATTACAGTTTTGGAACCAGAATGGCAACATCTAATTCCGGGCTATGCTATCTGTGTAACTATGAAAATGTTTCCTCACCTGCAAAAGGAGGAGGGACAATAATAAATGGGACCTATTTCCTAAGCCATGAGGTTTAACAGGTGTACTTGTATGCCTGGTATATATACGAACTCAGAATCACCTAGCTAAAATTGGTCTTGTGAAGGCTCCCTTAAACAGTCCAAACCTACAAGGTTTTTAAACGGCCCCTCCCAACTCCTTCAGCACCTTCACCTTAATTAACCCATCCCTTCCCTTCATCTTTAACCTGTCCCTTGTTTCTTGTTGTTGTTGCTGCTGCTTTTCAAGACTGGGGTTCCCTGTGTAGTCTTGGCTGTCCTGTAACTCGCTCTGTAGACCAGGCTGGCCTCAAAGTCAGAGATCCACCTGCCTCTGCCTCCTGAGTGCTGGGATTAAAGGTATGCACCAACACTGCCTGGCTTCTATCCCTCGCTTTTTTTTTTTTTTTTTTTTTTTTAAGATTGTATTTATCTACTTATGTATTATGTATACAGTCTTCTGTCTGCATATGCCCTGTAGGCCAGCAGAGGGCACCAGATCTCATTAAAGGTGGTTGTGAGCCACCATGTAGTTACTAGGAATTTGTACTCACCTGGAAGAACAGGTCAGTGCTCTTAACCACTGAGCCATCTCTCCAGACCCTATCCCTTACTTTTAAAAAGCAGTTTAACTACATTTTTGTCTCCATGTCATAGTGTGTGTGGAAGTCAGAGAACAACTTTGGAGTCAGTTCGTTCCTCATGGGTCCCATGGAACTCAGGTTGTCAGGGGTGGTGACAGGTGCCTTCATCTGCAACCATCTCACTGTAGCTCCCCGTTTTTGAGCCTCTCTTTCAGTCTATAAACTTCCCCAGGCCTCTCCAGCATAAAAATAACAAATCTTTCTTTTATTAACCCTTCCCTTTCTCCTTCCCCATACAAACTTTTCATCAGCTCAATCTGTTGGTGTCTCCCCTTGGCCCCATTCCTCCTCAGTTACCTTCAGTATATCTCCCATCCCTTCACTACATGGACATGATTTTGCACAATCCAACTTGTCTGTTTTGTTTTTCTCTGATGATAATTTGTTAACTGTTAGCAGCCCACAGACCAAGCATTAAGTCACTATACTTTATAAAGCAGGCGATGGTCAGGGCCATCCCAGGGGGGATCGTTTAATCATCTGTGTTGTAGACAGCTCATCTCCCTACGCCACTCAACTCGTTTCTCCACAGGCTGGAGCTCTATCCTGTGTTTATTATTCTCATTCTTGTGCTGCTTTCCAGGCTGCCAGTTGTCTTTCCTGTCTCTGGTCCAAGTCGAAGCTTCATGCTTGCATGACTCCCACTCCCAGGCAACAACCCATATCCCTCTACCCCACTGGACCTCGGCTCCTGTCATCTGACACTGTCATTCTCTCCTCGGAGGCTTCCACAGCTTAATCCTACTTTCCAAGTTTCCCTCTCTGATTCTCTACAAACTCTTGTATAAGAATGCTTTCCAGGAGGGGAGGGGAGCTGAAGAGTTAGTAGTTAGGAGCACTTGTTCTTCCAGAGAACCCAGGTTTGATTCCCAGCACCCATGTGGCAGCTCACAACCATCTGTAATACCAGTCCCAGGGGATCTGACGCCCTTTTTCTTTATCCTAACCATACAAAACAACTTGCATGTCATCTGGAAAAGTGCTAACATAAATGTATAATGTAAATTCACAATCCTACACTTTGTACTCTCTTCTAGACTCTTTTATTTAAATTAAGTATTATACAGGTGCCGCAGAGGCCAGAGGTGTCATCTATTTGGAATCACAGGTGTTTGTGAACCTCTGATGTGGGTGCTGGGAACAGAACTTGGCTCCTGGAAAAGCAGTACAAGTTCTTAACCACTGAGCCATTTCTGAAGCCCTAAACTCTTCCTGAATGTTAAAAACAAGTACTCAATATGGGAGAGGTACAAGCAACAAACACTATAAAATAATAGAATGCCTCATTTTCAGATACATGACAGGGACTCGCCAAAAGCCAAAGTCAAAATCTGATAATAAACCTTTATATATACATTAACAATGATAGAGAAGTATCCATCATTAGAAATAGTACTTCCTAGAAAAACCTGGAGTAACTAATTATCTAGTACTAACAATAAAGTAAAACTTACTTTCCAGGCTAAACTGCAAAGATTCTTCACTGGCCTCTGTCTCGGGACTAACCAGTTTCATTTTCAGATACAGTTTTCCGTCCATTTCTGGGGCAGACTCAGAATCTCCTTTTTCACTCCCGAGTAGAGGATCATTGATCTCCACCATGCTTTCAGACATGACATCACTGGTTGCTATGGTGCTTTCTGGATAGTTGCCAATCCCTGAAAAGGGGGGAGGGAGGAAGAAAGAAAGAACACTAAAATACAAACATGAAAAACAGTAATTTGAAATGATCAATTTGCCTGTTTGGCTCCACCACTCTGCAGGATTAAAGAGGGTCCCTAGGATAGATCCTGTTACATTATCGACAACTACCAACTAGTGTTGACACCTGGTCTTAAGAGGAGCAACAGGATTCAGTTCCACTTCTGCATCTGGACAAAGGATGCTGCATGAGCCCTCAGCCAACCCACATCTGCCAGCATCGGGCATAGGTAGCAGGAGACTCCAGGCGGCATGACTGTTACCTCCCAGCACTGACTAGAGAAAACAAATAGGTTAATGTAGAAATCTACCTGCTGCTCCAAGGGTAGAGGATCTACATTTTCTTGCCCTGTCAAGTAGCAGACTGATCAGCCAGTGCACTGAGCACACACAGCACTTCTCCAAACTTCCTATCTCTCCATGCAAAACAGTTCCAAATCCCAGTCTATCTCTCCAGTTCTACCAGTGATGCAACAAAACTTTACACTCTGCCCTCCTTCCCTCGACCCTCTCTCTGTCCTCTTACCATCTCTCATCCCCAGCAGTAAAATCATACCCTGCTCCTCCAAACCCAACATCAGCCTTCTCAGTCAGACCAACTCCTCAGATCTAAAAGCATCACTTGCATAAAGAATGGCACCTTAGGAGGTCTTTAAGCTTTTATTTTAATGCCTTAAGTATCCTTTTTATAAATCACTCACCAATAGGTGTACTATGTCTGTTGCGATCCAATTTTAGGTGCCCAATATGAGGAGGGGTTGCACCAGTCAATGGTGGAATAATATCACCTTCTTTAGGCAAAGTGAAATGAAATGGGGTTTCTGAAATAAACAAAAATGAAAACACATAATGAAAAAAAAAAACACTGAAGTAATCATTACACAAAAATGAGAAAATACAAAAAAACAATACAAAACAAAAAACCTTCAGCTGTTCTTTTCCCAAATTCTTATTCCTATCACAATCACCAGCCATCCAAACCAATTCCCTGCTGGCTGCTAGAAAAATAGCAACTCTACAGCCATCATCAGCCTTGATCACAAGACTCCACCAGAAGACAGGCAAAAAAAAGAAACTGGCCTGAGCAACACTGGGTCATCTACAACTTAGAAACACAGATCTGGGTATGTTTGAGTCTAGAAGCATAACTTAGTTCAGGCAACCCAGAAAGTTCCTTTCTCAGCTCTGCATACTACAGGTCTTCTAAAGCAAAGTCTGATGTTACAGTCTGCTCTGAAAGGTGACAAAGATTTTCCAGGCCAAAAAAGACTTCAAAGCAGTCATTGGTTCTAACAATCAAATCTGAGGCTTTCCTTCAACTGTTCTGAACAGCACCCATTCTAGATGTAAAACCAGAGTGAAAATATTCAAACTCAATTTCTGCATCGTGGTAAATTCCCATAAGAGGCATGCCCCCAACACATGTTTAGTTGATTGCTATTAAATTATTACAAACTTCTGAAGACATAAAAGTACTTTTCAGCAAGGTGCGGCAGCACACACCTTCACTCCCAGCACTCAAAGGCAGAGGCAGGCAGGCAGGCAGATGGACACTCAAACTTAACAATAAGTGCCTTATTGTGGAAACTGTTCCTTGATGCAAAATTCCTTTGCACAATAGTGGGTACAACTTACTAAAAGTAATTTAACACCATCTCATTTCACCAGTATAATAGAGACTTGAAATGTTTTCAGGCCCCAGGGACAGCATGGCTGCTACCTTCATCTACTCTTGAAAGACCAAAAAAGTCATGTTAATGATGGACTGACCTGGAAACGAATATCTGTTCCTTGGAATTTGCTAACTTCCTCTCACAAGGCCCTGAGATAAGAAGAATTCACACTGCCCCTCCTTTCCTGTGAGTCAACAGGTGGTAAATAGGGTCCTTAGGAAACAAAGAGATAGCTACAACTCTGGTTTGCCCAGACAAAATTAATTAGCACACCCTGAGGCCCTAAGGTCTGTTGACCCTAATAGCAGACCATGCGGCCTCCAAGGGTCACTACTCAATGGACAGAGGGTCCCACCCCCTCCCTAAGCTTGTGGGTTTGCCCTTAAAAACACCTGGGCCCAGGGGAGGGGGCTTCTCTCTAGCCTGCGTGCTGGAGGAGCCCGTTTGCGCAAACATTTCCTGTTCATTAAAGCCTCTTGCGTTTTGCAGCAACTGGACTGGACATTGAGTTCTTGGGGTATCGACCGAACCTGGAAGACTCCTCATTCTGAGGGTCTTACAGTCTTCAATGCTTCAGTTCTGCATAACTCAGCCTACCAATCATTTTCTCTACCTAAAGTCGAGTTCTTTCAACAGTATAACCAGATATACAGCTGGATAACACAGCTTTCGACAAACTTGCTTTGAAATCCTTTGAGGTTTTCAATACAGGGTCAATTCCTAACCCTTTGGCCTAGAGAGACGGTTCAAGCAGTTAAGAACACTTTGCAGAGGACCCAAATTTGGTTCCCAGAGCCAACATGGTAGCACACAACCATCCATAACTCCAGCTGAAAGGGATCTGATGCCCTCTCTGGCTTCTGTGAGCACCAAGCATGCACACGGTCCACAAACATACATGTAGGCAAAACACTCATACATATAAAATTAGTCTAAAAATACTGTTAAATCCTTATTCTTTAGTCAGTGTGCAGTTAACTCCAATCTTTCTTAATTATTCATGTTCAATCCTCCAAATGCCTTTCCATTTTTCTGCACTTACCCAGCCATCTGAAAATCACCGTTAATAGATTATCGACAAGCAGTGGTGGTGCATGCCTTTAACCCCAGCACTCGGTAAGCAGAGGCAGGCAGATCTCTGTGAGTTCGAGGTGCCTCAAGTGTGTGATGGCACACAAATGGAGGGCAAGAACAACTTACAGAAAGTTTACCACGTGGGTCCCAGAATGGAACTCAGATCACCAGGCTTGGATGTAGGCACCTTTACCCAATGAACCATCTTGCCAGTCCATTATTTATTTAATTTTTGAGACAGTATCTCATGAAACTCAGGCTAGTCTCAAACTGCCTCTGTAGCCAAGAATGACCCTGGCCTTCTGATCTTCCTGCCTCCACCTCCACGGTGCTGGGATTACAGGTGGAACCATCACACCAAATTTATTCAGTGACGGAAATAGAACCCAGGCTTCATGTTGGGCAGACTACCAAATAAACTACATTCCATCTTTTGAAACTGAAAAATCATTAACTTTTCACATTCCTCTTTTTTCAATCCTCCTAAGTTTTAGCAACTAAATAACTGTATTCTATGTTTTTGTTTGTTTTGCAATGAGGGGATCAAACCTAGGGCCTTAGAAAATCAAGGCAAGCACTATACTAATGAGTTACACCTCCAACTCATCCATAAACTGTATTTTAAGCATGCAATAGTTTTTCTATTTCTTTTGCATCAGGAACTATTATTCTTCATGTTCTAATTTCTAAGTAAAGCTTTTGTTTTCTTTTTTTACATATCTATTTTTAACTCCTGTCCCCAGACACAGGTGGAGACTCCAGCTATTTGAGGATAGTGATGTCATTGTTTCTTTTGAGCTGAACACTAGGCCATCTTAGTCCCAGAGGCTTTCTCATACATGGCATAAACTAAATCAGGCCTATGCTTAACTAAATTCCTAAATCTTTTTTTTTAAAGGTATTTATTTTTATTTTTTGCATGGGTGTTGTGCCTCATACATGTCTGTCCCTCTAGTGTCTGCAAAGGCCAGAAAATGGCATCAGACTCTCTGAAGCTAGAGTTTATAGGCATTTGTAGGTGTAGAAACCAAATTCTGGTCCTCTGGAAGAGCAGTAAGCAGCCTCAACCACTGAGCCATCTCTCCAGTTACAACTTTTAATTTCTTAATCTTTCATAATCATTTCAAAAAAATGACTGTCCAACCATTATTTTCATTGCTTTTTTTTCTATTCAATAAATTGAGGAATAGGTGTGGGACATACATATATTCAGACAAAACACCCATACACATAAAACTTTTTTGTGGCGATGTCTTATTTGTAATCTAACAAAGTTTTCCTAAAGATCAGAGGGCTGAGCTAGCCACTAGTTAACCATAGAGGTCGGAGGTCTGTACAGACAGACAGGATTGATATGGCTGGGCGGAGAAAGGAATATAAGACAAGAGACGACAGGAGTTCAGCCTCCTTTTGGTCTGAGGATTTCATAGAGGTAAGAGCTCTAGTGGCTGCTCTGCTTCTCTGATCTTTCGGCTTTCACCTCCTAATATCTGACTCCAGGTTTTTATTATTAAAACCAATTAGAACTTTTGCTATATATATACATTTTATTTTAAGACAACTAAATTTTTTTTTTCCTTCCCTCCCAACTCCTTCCAGTGCTGGACACTGAATTCAAGGTTTTACATCCTAACCCTAAAGGAGAATCACTTCTTAAGAAGAAAAGGGAGGAACCACTTTAGGATACCTCCCCAATGTAGGGAACAGACACTGAACTTATCAACCAAATGAGAGAGGGAGGCAGGGAGGGAGGGAGGGAGGGAAGTCAAGAGATTGATGTGGGGAGGGAAAGAAGAAGTCTAAGGGAGGAGGAAGGGAAGATGAGGAAGGAGAAGAGGGAAGGAGAGGAGGGGGGTTAAGGGGAAAGGGAAGGGGGGAAGTAGAAGGATGTGAGGCTGGTTAGGAGAGGGAGGAGAGGGGGCAGAGGGGTGAAGGGAGAGGCAAGGAGTAGGAAACAAGTAATTTTCCAGCATTTTCGGTAATCCAGACTAATATTAGTAAAATACATTTTAATATGGCAGTGTCATGACAAAAAATAATTCATCCTGGCAACTAACTGCATAAGCTGTCATAGTACTCATGAAGAATAGCATTCATGAAGAATACTATTATCATAACAACTAATATTTCAGTGTCTTAGAATATTCTTCTGCATACAACTATGAAAAGCAATTAAAAGGTATTCCTGGCAGGCATGGTGGCAGCTGCAACCCCAGCACCTGAGACATGCATGGTACTACAAACCTTGTCAAAGGCCCATGACTAGGGAGCTCACAGCCACACCTACTATTATGTTAGACATCAAGCTGTCAAATGCCGTCTAAGTATTTACATTTCTACCTATAGGTGTATGTTGCTCTCAACTGTGGTCAGAAAAGCTTCTTTCTGCAGTGGGCAACAGTTAAGGCAACTCCTGTCTAGTCAAGTTACAGGTTCAAATGACCATGAGTGCTCCAAGCTGGGGTGAAGCATGTCCTTTAACCGCCCCAATCCATGGCTTTGCAGGAGAGGGGGAAAGAATGTAAGAGCTGGTGGATGAGGGAAGAGGTGCTGGCTCTAGACATGGCATGGCTGTTACATACATCAACTCTTGGCACCTACGGTTCCCTGCACTGGACCTGCACAAGATCAGCCAGTCAAAGTTCCACAGGGATGGAGAAGGCACTACTAGCAGCTGATGGTTGCTGAAAAAGGACTGTCCCTTATGGAAATAGCCACAGGTAGGTTACACATGCGCCAGTGGATGGCCTCAAAAACATGTATGTATGGGTAACACTGGCTGGACTCAGGGGGTGGAGGGTTAGTAACATACCAATAAAAGAAGGATGGGAGGGTAATGGGGACAGGGGCACCAGAAGTTTGGAGGAAGGTAATGGTGGATGGATATAATCAAAATACATTGTGTAAATCTATGAAATTTCCAAATAATAAATCTAAAATATTGTTTTAAAATAAAATTATTAAATATCAGGAAAAAAGAAAATGTGAGGCCAGTCTGAACTGTAAAAATGAAACCTTGAACCAAAAAAGACAAAGACAGATACATAGATAGACAAACAGAGAGAGAGGATAAGATATAAAAAGAAAGGAATCTCTGTACTTGTTAGGGATACAGGAATAGCTCACTCATGGTACCTGCAGAGCTCACAAGAGATTAACCATGGGGTGAGCAGGGGAGCCTCAAGGGCAGGACCTAAGTAGAAAAAAATAAACTGGTGCAATTCCTAATTACACATACTGACTACTACTAAATTATGGTGCTGATAAATCTCAAATGCTCTTTGGTCATACAAATAACTACAACTATGAAAGAAAACTACAAACACCAATCTCAGACTTCCCAAGTACCAAGTATTATTTCCTAAGGCTAACGTGAAGTTCTGACACAGTGTGAGAGCTCTTTTACCTTCCTTTCCAAGCCGGCACCTGGCTGGACAGCTCAAAATGAATCTACCATCACTCACCACTAGAACTTTCACAGAAACTTTGTGAGTCACGGGCAGGGGCCTTCAGAAGCTGCTGGGACGCGCCCTCTGACCCCAGCTGCTGGGCATCAGCCACTTTTGCGTCTATGGTCACTGGACTGTCTTTCTCTTGAAGCTCGAGCTGCTGCGTCTCCTGGTCAGGTCTGGGAGGTTCGTCAGTCACTGAAGGCAAAGGAGGCTGTGAACAGTCTTCCTCTACAGAGTCCTTTCCTGTGGTCTCTGCTTTCACATCTCCATCACACTCTACAATCTTTTCTTCCGTCTCTGGCGCCACATCCTCCCAGGAGTGGGAATCTGAGCATTTCTCCTCTCCCTCCAAAGGTTCGCAGGGAACAATTCTTGGTGAGGGCTCCTTCGTATCAACGATAACAACACTGGAGTCCTCAGAAGTGACTTCTTCCCAGGCCTCTGGCTCCTTATGCTCTGACTCCTGGTCCAGTACCGGCAGCTTCTGGGGGGAGTCTACACTAATTACAGCGGGTTCCACTTCCATGGCCTCTGGGCATTCTTCTTTGGGCAGCTCCTTCTGAAGACACAATGCCTGGGACTGAGTTTCAGTCAGAGAAAGGTGCAGTGGGATACTTTCCATCGTTTCTTCCTTGGGCTCCTCTCTGTGACTTTCACAGGGAGTCTCGGGGACTTCTTCTACCTCAGATCCTGAAAACCCCTCCTCTGGATGCTGTTCTTTAATTTCCATAGCTTCTTCCTGATCTAAGACACTGGAAAGTGTCTCAGACCGAGCAGCTGGAGATGGAACTGCCTGACTCCCAGAATCACAAGTGAGATCAATGCAAACATCTTCAGCAACAGTTTCTTCCCTGCCTTTATTACCAGCAGCTAAATCACCATGGTCACCTCTGTTCTCTGTGGTACTCCCGTTTGTTTTCTCGTCACTCTCGTTCATTTCCACGTGGTCATCTTGTGCTGGATTCATCAGGATATCATCATTTTCAGCAGGAAGTTTAGAATTGGTGACAGGAGACAACGGTTCAGTGTCCTCAATCGGTGTGTTCTCTGCATCACCCTCACTCCTGGGAGAAGCCAAGCTCTCCATCTTTGAGGACTGACTACACTCACTTGTAGAAAGCATCAGTTTGCAAGACTCCCCTGTCAAGGAGAGCCCAAGGTCAGCAGTGAAATTCTTTGGTTCACTCTCTGAAGTCTTAGAACACTCCACAGTCAAAGATGAGCTATGCAGATCGCCACCTTTCCTCCCATCACTTGACCCTTCTTCCAAACTTGGTGATGGAAGAAAAATATCCTAAGGAGGGATAAAAAAAAAGTCAAGCTATCAGTTGTCCAGTTCACGTTTCTTTTATATCTAACCTTTGAATTCACCTACATTTCTAAATCAATTTTACAAAAATTAAAGAACTATACCTAGGGCTATAATAATTCCAGAACTCCAAATCTTACAACCGGTCTTTCAACTACATCAGTCATTCTGTTTAGTGCTGTTCTTATAAAATCAGCGTAATCCAAAACAAAAACCTAAAGTACAAACTTATTAAACACAAGAATATTCAAACGTTTCGGGCAGAGAAACAAAGGCAAGAGAATCTCTGTGAGTTTTAAGATCTACAGAGGAAGTTCCAGAAGAGCCAGGATTACATAGAGAAGCCCTGTCTCAAAAAACAAAACAATAATAAAAACTCCAACCAGGCTGCAGTAGTGCTTGCTTTAATCCCAACATTCAAGAGGCAAAGGCAGATGGATCTCTATGAATTCGTTCTATGAATTCAAAGCCAGCCTGGTCTATAAAGTGAGTTCCAGGATAGCCTGAGCTGTTAGACAGAGAAACCCTGTCTCGAAAAAAGAAACAAAAAATTTAAAACGACAAAAAATTCAAAATTTATACAAAGCCCTGGGCATCATGGAACATGTCAATAATCTCAGAGCTTGAGAGGCAAACATGAATAGACCAATTAATTATTCATTCACTCATTCATTCATTCATTTGGGTTTTTGGGTTTTTTTTGGGATAAGATTTATCTGTATAATAGCCCTGGTTGTCCTGGAACTCATTCTGTAGACCAGGATAGCTCCAAACTCACAGAGATAAGCCTGCCTCTGCCTCCTGAGTGCTGGGATTAAAGGCATGAGCCACCACTGCCCAGCAGTTTTTTTTTAATTGGTTATTAGTATTGGTGGTGGTGGTGGTAGTGTATGTATGTGTATGTTTGTATATATATATATATGTGCATATGAGCATGGGTACCATACATAGCATATGTGTTGATCAGCAAAACTCTCATTAGTCAGCTCTGTCTTTCTACCTTTAAGTATAACATGGAAATTTGACACATAGTGAAAAAAATGAGGTAACATTCAAATTAAAATGGTAGATTCAATATCAACTTTATTATTGCTGAAACCATGCTAAGCAATGGTAAAAGTATTTTTATCTAACATGCATGTCTCAAGAAAAAAAGTGACAATCTACTTGGTAGACAAGTGAAAGGTAATTACAAGGCCAAATAAGAGAAGGTCAAGAAGTTACCAGAGTACCAGCATGCCCCATGCCACCTTCCCCCCAAAAGGACTTGTCAGCAGTATCAGCTAATTCTAAAAGTGATGGTAAGGGTGCTGCTAAAACAGGACAAGGGCTGCCTGGAAGTCTATTTAAGAAGCAGTTCAACGCCCATACCCTCGTTCCCTGCCCCCCTCTGCCCTGAGAAAATCAAACACAATGCCCTGGACTGGAGAACAGGAGGCCCAGGTATGAGTGTGCCATCCTAAAGTTAGAGGGATTAAAGACAATCTATCCCAAACCTTCTTCCTTTACAGGACTTCTATATAATGGCAACAAGCCCTGTACCCAGCAGGCAGGGGATTCGACTTTCCTGGGGAATATGACAAACCCAAGACAATCGGGATTCTGACACTAAGGCACACCTGACATGATGCACCAGCAGATCACACTAATGGGGACCAGAAGAAGTCCCAACTGTCACCTCAGAAGTATTAATCCAGAGTGCTGCTTTCTCACTCTTAAATATCAGCAAATAAGGAAGAGCTCTCATTTAAAAGACAGCAAGAGCCAGAGCTGGGTAGAAGGCTGGGTTCAATCTCCAGAACCCACACGACAGCTCACAACTGTCTCTAACTCCAGTTTCAAAGGATCTGACACCTTCATATAGACATACATGCAGTCAAAATTAACAATGCACATAAGATAAAAATAAATCATTAAAAAGAAAGGGGAGTTCTGGAGAGATGGCTTAAAGGTTAGGAGCACTGGCTGCTCTTTTAGAGGTCCTGAGTTCAATTCCTAGTAACCACATGGTGGATCACAGCCATCTGTAATGAGATCTGGTGCCCTCTTCTAGCATGCAGGCACACATAATATAAAAATAAATCTTTAAAAAAATAAATAAAAGACAGCAATGGCCAGCAAGATGGCTCAGTAGGCATGGTGGTCTAAATAGAAATGGCAGCCCCATAGGCTCTAAATTTAAATGCTTAGCTGCCAAGGAGTGGTACTATTTGAATGGATTAGAAGGACTAGGAATTTGAGGTTTTAAGGGGGTTTTAAAACACCACACCAAGCCCACCCTCCCTCTCTCTCCCTTCCTCTCTCCCTCAATCCCTCTCTCCCTCTCCCCCCATCCCCCCACCCCCGCCCTGCCTACTGATCGTGATGTAGCTCTGAGCTACTGCTCCAGTGCCTGCCTACATGCTGCCATGCTCCCCATCAAGGTAATAAAGGACTATACTTCTAAAACTGTAAGCAAAGCCCCAATTAAATGTTTTCTCTTATAATAGTATGATGGGAGATGTCATTTTATGAATATTTTTCTCTTAATGGTTAATGAATAAAGCACTGTTAGCCAATAGGAAAGCAAGAAAGGCGGGACTAGTAAACTAGGAAGAGAAAGGAAGGAGTAGGGAGGAGTTTCAACATGTAGGAAGAGAGCAGAACGCTGGACCCTCTCTCCAGTAAGATAAGACCACATGGAAATCTTAGATTAATAGAAATGGGTTAATATTTAAGACAGAGCTAGCCAATAAGAAATGCTAGTAACAGGCCAACAGAATTATATCTAATACAGCATCTCTGTGTGTTATTTGGGGCTGGTGTGGCTATGGGACCAGGCTAGTGGGAAAACTTACTCCTAACAGTAGTAGCCATGCTAAAATTAGAAACACCAATGACAGCTTATGATGGAGAGGATGTGGAGAAAGAGGAACACTCCTCCACTGCTGGTGGGAGTATAGACTTGTACAGCCATTTTGGAGATCAGTATGGCGGTTCCTCAGTCTACCACAGGACCCAGCAATCCCCCTCTTAGGCATATACCCAAATGATCCACATCCATGCAACAAAGACATGTGCTCAACTATGTTCATAGCAGCATTATTTGTAAAACTATGTTCATAGCAGCATTATTTGTAATAGTAAGAACCTGGAAGCAACCTAGATGTCCCTCAACTGAAGAATGGATAAAGAAAATGTGGCGCATTTACACAATGGAATACTACTCTGCGGAAAAAAACAATGGAATCTTGAAATTCGCAGGCAAGTGGATGGAACTTGAAGAAACCATCCTGAATGAGGTAACCCAGTCACAAAAAGAGGAGCATGGTATGTACTCACTCATATATGGATTTTAGACCTAGAACATAAGAATCACCAGCCTATAATTCACACCGCCAGAGGAACTAGGATACATGGTGGATTCTAAGAGATTCATATAAGGTCCCTCACAGAAGGGGGAAAAGACAAGTTCTCCAGAGCACATGGGGAGGGGGCGCAGTAAGTGGAGAGGGAACTAGGAGAAAGAGAAGGGGAGGAGAGGAAAGCACATGGGACTAGGAAGATTGAGTCAGGGGAGGAATAGAAGACAGAAAAGTGGGGGAGGGAGAGAGGGAGAGAGAGAGAGAGAGAGAGAGAGAGAGAGAGAGAGAGAGAGAGAGAGAGAGAGAGAGAAAACATAAAAGAGGGAGCCATAGATTTAAAAAGAAAATTGAACCTAAAGAAATGTCTAAAGACCTACAAGACTGACTCCAACTAACAATTTGAGCAACCGTGGAAAGGCTACCATAAATGCCCTTCCCTGATAATGAGATCAACGACTAACTTATCCACCATCACGGAGCCCTTATCTAGTACCTGTTGGAAACAGAAGCAAACACCCACAACTAAACATTGAGCCGAACTAGAATCCAGATGCAGAGAGGGAGGACAAGACCATGCTGCAGAAATACATAGAGACAGCTGACCTGAACAAGGAGGAGCTAACGGCCCCAAGACTGATAGCTGGGAAGCCAGCATGGTGACTCAGATCCCCTGAATATGGGTCTCAGCTAGAAGGACTGAGCAGTCTAAGGGACCTCAGACAGTGGAGCCAGGATGTATTCCTGGTGCACAAAAGGACTTTGCGAACATATCCCCCATGGAGACAGGAGAGAAGTCCTAGTCCCTACTTCAAATGACTTGACAGATTTAGATGACCCCTCTCCTGGATGGCATCACCCTACATGTGGAGTGGGGGAGATGGAAGGGGAGGGTGGTCAGGGTGCATGTGGGGGGGGGGAAGGAGGGAGGAAGGGAAGGAGGGAGAGGGAACTGGGATCGATATGTAAAAAAAAAAAAATAAAAAATAAAGAAAAAAAAAAAAAAAAAAAAAACAATAGTAGCCATGGTCATAGTGTCTCTTCACAGCAACAGAACAATGATTAAGATTAGAAGTAAAGGCACTTGCTCGTCAAGTCTGTTGACTGAGTTTGGTTCCCAGACCCACAAGAAAGACCTCCACACATTTACTAGGCCATACACACACACCAAATGAATTAAATGTAAAAGACATCGAAACAAGTTGGAGACATAGTTCAGTCGGAAGAGTTCGTGTCTAGCATGCACAAAGCCCTGAGTTCCAGCCCTAGTATTAATAAAATTAATAAATTAATAAACCAAGTTGGGCAGTGGTGGTGCACACCTTTAATCCCAGCATTCCGGAGGCATAAACAGGTGGACATCTAAGTTTGAGGCCAGTCCGGCCTTCATAGTGAGTTCCCTGTCTCAAAGCAAACAAAGTCAAAGAAAAAAAAAAAAAAAAACACTGCATAAAACCATATGGTAAAGCACTGCCTACAATTCCACCACCCAGAAGGCTGAGGATCAGAAGTTCCATGTCTTCCTCAGTCACACTGAGAGTAGCTTTCATTCACCAGGCCTACAGTATGGTTCCCAAACAGTAAACAAGAATGGCATGGTGCCACATGCCTATAATCCCAAAAGCTAGGAGGCCAAGGCTGGAGGACAACGAGTACAACACTAGCCTGGGTTACAAAGCAAGACTCTCAAAAGCAAATAAGCAAGAACTGACACTCGTGGCAGAGCATTCGTTTGCACAGCATGCTTGAGGCTGTGGGTTCAGTCCCTAGCACAACTTAAATACATTACAAAGCCTACTTAGAACAGTGATGCGTCTGGGGAAGAAAAAACTTTCAAAATAATTATTATCATTAATGAGAAATACACACATAAAACAAGAAAAAAATTATTCAGAGGAAAAAAGTCCACAAGAATTAAAAACAAAAGCACAGAAATTAGTAACTCCAAGGATTAAAATAGAAAATGCCCAGCAACTCCACCCCCAGTTTACATCAGAGAAATAAAACATCCTTACACAAGTCTGTGCATCAACCTTCATGGTAGCATGATTCACAGAGACAAAAAGAGAAACAGCCCCAACATGCATCAACTGAACTAAAGAGTCAATGTCTTATATCCACAACAGTATCAGTCACAATAAAACGGACCAAAACTGCTCCATGCAGTAACACAGATGTTGTCACAGTTAGCTTCAGCTGTCAACCTGACACAACCAGAGATGTCTAGGGGTGGGAAGTACAGACACTAGGACAAGAGAAAATCCTGCAGCATTACAATTAAAACAAACAAAAAAACAAACAAACAAAACTGGTCACAGGGCCCAAAGCAAGATCAGATTTGCCTTACAATACCTAATAGATGCACCAGAAACACAAAATCAAGAATTCAAGGCCTTGAAAATTGGTATCGCCAATTATCTATTATCTATAATTCCATACCATACAGACTATAAAATAAGAAGGTAGAAAAGGGCTCTAAGAAATGTCCTCAATAAGCATGAGGAACTAGATCAGAGGGTCTCAACCTGTGGGTCATGATCCCTTTCACGGGGGTCCCATATCAGATACCCTGTATAGCATATATTTACATGATGATTCATAACAGTAACAAAATTATACTTTATTTGTTTTGTTTTTCAAGACAGGATTTCTTTGTATAGCCTTGGTTGCCCTGGAACTCACTGTAGACCAGGCCAGCCTCCAACTCAGAGATCCACTGCCTCTGCCTCCTGAATGTTGGCATTAAAGGTGTGCGCCACAACCCACCCAGAACAAAATTACAATTATTAAATAGCAACAAAAATAATTTTATGGCTGGGGGAGGAGGATCACCACAACATGAGGTTGTATTAGGAAGGCTGAGAACCAGGGAACTTGACCAAACAAACCAGCAAGCAAAGGTGAGCGTGCAGAGAAGCTGCAGAAGCGATGCCCAGATTCACCCTCTGACCTCTACATGTGCATGCCATACACACATCCACACACAGTAAAATAAAAGAATTTTGTTTGTCTTTCAAAACAGAGTTCCTTTGTGTAGCTCTGGCAGTCCTGGAACTCACTCAGTAGACCAGGCTGGCCTCAAACTCACAGAGATGTGCCTGACTCTGCTTCCAGAAAAGCACCATCAGATGGCTCAGCCATCTGATTTACAACCAAAAACTAGCAAACTTAAGATTGGTCTAGATATGTAGCTCAGTGCAAAGCACTTGACTAAAACCTGTGTGTGGTGGTTTGAATAGGTAGGCTCCCGAGGACTCGTATGTTTAAATGTTTAGCCCATAGAGAGTGGCAATATTAAAGGGAATATTGATGCAATAGGTGTGACCTTGTTAGAGGAAGTGTGTCAATGTGAAGGCAGGCTTTGAGGTCTCATATATGCTCAAACTGGAGGGTAAAAGGGCCAGCCAAAGAAACCCACCGTGGCCCTGAGGCCAGAGCTAGTGAACTGAACATGAAACCAACGAATTCCTGAGCACAAAATCTAGCACGCAGAACCAAAGAAACACATCCTGACTCTGAAAAACCAGAACCAAACACTTTGGCCCAAGAACCAGAGCCAGTGAAAGAAATACACCTTAGCCCTGAAAATAGAACCAAAAGTCTAAAAAGGAACAGTGAAACACAGTTTGGCCCTAAACCCAGAGCCAACTCTAACCCTGACCAACTAAACTAACCAATCCTTAAGTGGGAAAATTAACCAACCCCTGAGCAGAAAATCCCTCTGGGAAAACTCCACCCCCAATAAGCCCTATATAAGCCCCTCTGCCTGTTCAGTTGCTGGCTGTCCTTTCCCACCCTAGCACAGGAAGACAATCTCTTAGACTCCTCCTTCCTTTCAAATAAATCTCTTAAAAGAGTTCCGGATGAAGAACTTCTTTTTCTGGTGCAGAAAAAAGAACCTTTGCTGAGAGGCTCCCTTGGAGGCCTGAGCAGAAAAAAAAAAAAAAAAAAAAAAAAAAAACAGAAGCACAGAAGAAGCAGTTACATCTGCTGGAAAACTCCCTTAGGAGAAGAGCAGTGAAAGCAATTTTTTGCTGGAGCAGGAGGAGAGTGCTATATTTCTGTAGGGTTTCCCCTTTAGCAGAGTAAAGCAGAAGTTACATGTCGGGACGAGCTGAGCAAAGCAGAAGAAATGGATAGCTCTGCTAGGACGTTCCCGAGAGGAGCAAGATTACTACATCCTGCAGGGAGATCATCCCCCACAGCACCCCAGCTTAGGTATAGCCTGACTTCCCGACAAGTCAAAATACCTTTCTCTCCAGAGCTGTACTATAGCAGCTCCAGCCTCCAAAGCTATCCCTCTGCAGCTCCAGGTATAGCCTGACTCCCCAAAAAGTTAGGATACCTTTACCTCTAGAGCCACAACACTCGCTGGCACAAGCCATGTCCAGTGTCACAGTCTCCTGCTTCCTGCAGATCAAGATGTAGAACTCTCAGCTCCTCCCTAGGCACCATGTCTGCCTGCACACCTCCAAGTCCCACTATGCAAATGGACTAACCCTCTGAAACTGTTAGCCACCCCATTAGATGTTTTCCATGGTCATGGTGTCTCTGCACAGCAATAGAAACTCTAAGACACTGTGCATCCTTAGGTTCAGATCCCCGAACCACAAAATAAGGAGGGAAGCTATGTGAGTTTGAGGCTAGCAGGTTCTACAAAACAAGTTCCAGGATAGTCAGGGCTATCACAGAGAAACCCTGTCTTGAAAACAAACAGCTACAATAACAATAACAACAACAACAACAATAATAATAATAATGAAGGAAGCAAAAGTGTCAAGAGAAGGAAACTCTCCCTTCAACACTCACATGAGAAAACTCAGGCTGGGACGGGATGGGAAGAGAGCCGGGAGTGAAGACAGGTGTGCTCTGAGACACTGGTGTTGACACTTGTGGTGATACAGCGGGCTGAGATGGGAGGAGGGGCTTTTCTGTCTCCACTGCCTCGTCATCCTGAAGCTTCTGGAAACTCTCCCCTCCTTCTTCAGGCATCACTGACATATCCAAGGGCTCATCTGATTCTACACCGGAAAAATGAATTAAGAAATTATCACTCACCAATATTAGTCATGCTCCAATACTAAACAGCAATTATGTTACAGAAATTTCCATTCCTAAAAGAGTGTCCTAATTTTCAAAACACTGACATGGTAGGTTGTGTCACACCTATCCTTCCCTAGTGCACTTGCAGGCGTGTGCTCACGTGTGGAACTCGGATGACACCTTTCAGGGGTCGGTTCTCTCCTTCCACTATGGGCTCCTGGGACAACACTCCTGATTGTCAGGCGTTCTAGTCAAGCATTTTTAATCACCTCACCAGGCCACACCTAGTTTTAGATATAGATTAAAATGGTGTTTCATCTGAGAATACCCACCCACCCATAATAAACAGATATTACATTGTCTCCTCTAAACCCTCCCAGATTATCATAGCTCATTCTCACAACTTCTGTAGGAATAGTCAGATTTTTTCATGTGTTCTGTATGTGGTATGCATGTGTATGAATGTCTATGTGTGTGGGTCCAAGTGTGTGTGTATATGTTGGGGGGTGTCTATGGAAGCCCTAGGTTGATGCCAAGAATCTTTCTTAACTCTTCCTAGTGTTGCTAACCAGCTTTGCTCCATGGACCCCATCTCTACCTTCTGAAGTTAGGTTAACCAGTGGGCCACACCATGCTCTCTTACATGGGTTCTAAGCATCCCAACAACTCCAGCAAGCACTGTGACTGCTGAGTCACCTCTCGAGCACTTGGTGCCACCTATTTTAACTATCACACGTTCTGTTCTGCCCCAGGCCTAGAAAGGCAATGAATTTGTCCATCACTCTGAGTCAGTTATCTAATACATGAACTTATTGCATAGGTGAAGTACATACTGCTCAGTGCAGAGACTGACACCAGAACAAGTACAGAGCTCCCAATGCCAATCAACCCTGATTTATCTCAGAAGCAAGACACTGATCCCAACACAATCTGCTCAGGGGAAACACACAGAGAGAACACAAAACACTGCTCTAGGGCTGGGGAGATGACTCAGAGGTTAAGAGCACAGGCTCCTATTCTTCCAAAGGACCCAGGTTCAGTTCTTAGCACTCACATGGTAGCTCACAGCCATCTTGTAACTCCAATTCCAGGGGATCCAATACCCCGTGTTCCAGCCTTAGAGGTGGTGAACACATACAGCTAAAACACCCATATACATAAAACCTAAAAACACTGTTTCTGCATAATATTCTACCCACCTGAGGGCTACCAAGCTCATTGCCAGAGTCAGCCTAGCTAGCTGTTTAATTCATCAGACTTTTAAGCCCTAACCTACAATCTGATCCCAAACCACACCAGTCATACTACTTACTCCATTTAGTTTTCCCCAGTTTACATTCACCTTACCTACTGCCTAAAATCCAAATTCAGTGCCTACCCTTGCTGCTTGCTTGGCCTCACCCTAACATGCCAGTCTGATGAGATTTTAGGGTCCAGTACTATAAACTTTGATTTAATAATCTAAGATAGATGACAAAACAAACAGATCTAAAAAGCATTTGAAACTTCACAAACATGATGCACATATTAAGCAAATGTGTTAAATACAGCTGATGCAATGTTACATGGAAAAAAGAAAACTGAATCAGTAATATAATGCCAAATGCATAAAAATACTTTTTCGTATCTGTAGAAAACACTGAAAAACACATCCAAATACTAACTATAATTAAATCTGGACTGCGGTCCCTCAGATGTTGTTTTTATTTTCTTCATATTACTCTCCTATTACTTTTTCAAATTTTCTACAGTGAGTACTGATTATAAACATGGAGAAGAAAAAGCATTTTTCATACAACCCTTTTTATATGTTTACATTACAGATAGTAGAAATTAAGAAATTAACTCAACAGGGCCAGAGAGATGACTCAGTGGTTGAAAGCACTGGCTGCTCTTCTAGAGGTCCTGAGTTCAATTCCCTGGAACCACATGGTGGCTCACAGTCACCTATAGTGGGACCTGATGCCCTCTTCTGGTCTAAAGGCATAGGGCACTCATATACATAAAATAAATATATTTAAAAAAAAGAAAAAGAAAAGAAATCAACTTAACAATCTGAATAGAATTTTATAGAATGAAATCTCATCATTTTACCTAAAGATGTCACCAATTAGACCAATGGTAAGAATGCTATTGGTCTACCCAGCTACCTACAACTGAGAAAACAAACAAGCAGAGAAGGAACTGAGGCTAAGCCTACCCATGCAGTACTTCTCAGTACTCACAGGACTCAGAAGTACAGACAGCGGGTTGTCACAGGAGAACATATATCAGATAAAACCAAAAGTTTCAGAGGCAAGTGCCTGAGTTCAGATCCTAACTATACTACTAGTTATGAAATCTGTGACTCCATTTTCTCATGTGCAACATGGGAGTAAAAGTAACTACTGAAGATTTTTGTGCAGATTCTCTGGGTGAGTGGGGGAGATAAAGAACTATCTGAGCAAATGAAAAGCAGCTATGATAGCACCTGCCATAAACCAAGCGTTTAATAATAATGTGAGTTATTACAGTCATCAGTGTATGAATAAAGAGTGCCAAGTATGGTGTGACAAAGCTGAAAGTCTAGCACCCAGGACAGGGAGGAAGAGGCTCTCTACTTGATCCTGGGCCACATAACAAGAACTCTGTCTCAAATACAAAACAAAACAGAAGGAAAAGAAGAAACTGATAGAATTTACAATGTTTAGAAATAAGGACTATGGGTAGAATGCTTGCCTACCATGTCTGAAGCCCAAGATCAGATTCCAACACCCCCTCAATGAAGGCACACATCCATAACTCCAACACTCAAGAGGTTAAGCGGGGAGTTCAAAGTTCAAGGGCATTCTCAGCTTAGAGGGAATTTGAGGAGAGTCTGGGATACGTGAGACCATCTCTGGGGGGGGGGGTCACTAAATCCTCAAAAGAGAAAGTAAGTTAAAATTATTATCACCTCCTTCAAGCCACCCTTTGATTATTTTAATAAAAGCAAAAATAAAGAGCACAAGAAACGACGGCTGGTTTTCTCTCACTAGAAACATGCCAGTATGTTACTGGAAGGTAATAGATAATTAATAACCAATCCAGTACTTCCCCACACTTACTTACTTGGGTTCAATTTTAGAAGCCTAAAAATTCTTACCAGAACATTTTTTGTCAAAATTAAAACAATGGGAAAATCTTTGAAGGATCTGTGCTTAAAAAGCAAAGAGCTGAGAGTGGTTTGTCCTAGGCCATGTCCCAGAAGATGAGGACACGGGTCTCAGGAGCAGGGTTGCAACTGGTGAGGCATGAGAGCACTACCCTCTCCTGGGCTGAGATGAACAGACACAATACGACAGCTCACCTTTTCTCCCTCCTTGCTCTGTGGGACTGCTAGGAACGATAAAAGGGGTAGGTCGGAAAGCATCAGGGGAAGGAGCAACAAGATCTGAGGAATTCCTTTATATAAAGAGAGAATTCACAGGTTATTTTACTGCAGCCAAGGGTTTGACATTTGCTTTGACTTAACAAAAATATCCAACTCACATACTTAACAGCATATATGCATGTAATAGCATTTCTCCTAAACAGCAACCTGAGACTCAGACAGTTCTCAAACACTGCGTTTTTTTTTCAAGAGTAAGGGCAAAGTGAATGACTAGACACAAGGACATTATGATTAAGAAACAGGACAACCAAAGGCTGAAAACTAATTCACAGATCTGAGACATAAAAATTGTTGCTTCAGTTTTACATAATATGAAGAATGTACACATTTTTATTTAAAAACAAAAACAAGCACAAAAACAAAAAGCAAACCTCTTTGCCCTAGCTACTGCAGCAACCTACTCTCTCCTATATACCGCTAAGGGACAGACACACTGGCAAATCGAGAAGCAAATGGTTGCTTCTGATGTACATTTTTAAATAACAAGGCATTTTGTTTCCTAGTGACACCTGTCGCTTCCACCATAAAGCCTGCAATGGGAGAATACATGCACACACTTCAGACAGTTCCTGAGTTCTTACCCCAAAACTCCCAAGGCCTGGATTCTAGCTTTTAGCTTTGAAAGGAATTCTGGTCTGAGAGGCACCCTGGCTCTCCAGGCCGTTTCAGGCTTACTTACGTGGAAAGACTGTCCTGGACAAGGGGCCTCTGACCAGACAGCTGCAGGAGCTGCAGGGTGGTGGCGGGTGTGGAAACCGGAGAACACCCACCTTCCTCCCTTGAAGGAGTAGAGCAACCATCAGAAGCTAGTGGGGGAAAGAAGTCAAAGAGTTGTATTTACTTCTCAGACTGACATCATTGAGTGGGGGACCTGCTGAGTGCTGCAAAAACAGTAATCCCCAGTCTGTTACACTTCAGAGGGCAGAAGTCCTTTCGGGTGTAGCACAACTCAATGTAGCACAACAGAATGCAAATTGTGAATCAACAGTAACCCCACTCTACATCCCGTTTCAGGTTTCTTCAATGAAGAACTGGTTAAAAGAGTTCCTTGGTCCTTTCTACCATAATCTAAGCTTAGAGACAATAATGTTTGGAAGCACACCTATGGGCATGTCTATGAAGTGCTCATTTGATAGCTTATCACAGTAATAAGAAAAATAATCCTGAAAACTGGTACCAAGAATTGGGGCCCAGCCTGTCATGAGCCTGACATGTGAATTCCAGGTCTATGAAGGTGGTTTATTGGGAAATGTAGAAGAATTTGCAGATGTAAACTGAGCTTAGTGGACTGTTCCAGGTGAGTCTAGAAGACCAAAATGCAGAAAAAAAAAAAAAAAGTGAAGACAAGAGAAGCATGGCTCTCAAAGTTGTGGAAGGGAACAAGAACTCTAATGGGAATTAAGCCACTAGGTAATATATTCTAGAATTCAACTATAAGGCACTGGAGATATATTCTAGGACTCAACTATAAGCCACCAGTGATATATTCTAGAACTCAACCTTATGAGCCACTGGTAATATGTTCTGCCAAAGATCTGGCTGCATTGTACCCATATCCTAAGAACTTGAGGCTGAATTCATAAGTAATAGACTGGCTGAGTGTGGTGGCACATGACTTTAATCTCAGCACTCGATAGACAGATGGATCTCTGTAAATTCATGGCCAGCCTGGTCTATAGAGCAAGTTCTAGAACAGCCAGCGCTACAAAGTGAAGAACCTGTCTCTAGGGAAATGAAAAAAATATGATAACTAATTGTAAATGAAAACAGGTGATGGACTAATGTCAGAAGAAATCACATACCAGGGCACTCTGCTCACTATGCCCTTTCATATCAACAGTAAGAGACAGATATGAAGACAGTGCAGTGAGTTTAAAGTTGGAGACAGAGTACGGGAAAAGAATATGTAACTCTTAAATCATGTTTTTCAATGGAGTGAGCAGGGAATTCCCCACTCACTCACTTGAAAGGAAAAGAGCCTAAACTGATAATGCCACCACAAGGGTCCCCCACTAAAAAATGGCTACGTAGGCAAGTACTTCTCCAAAGGCACTCTCAAAGACACAGAGGCCACTGCAACTGTAATCCAAGAGAGACAGGCTACATCTCAAGCTGGAAGAACTGGGAACATCATCCACATAGTACTGTTTTTCTGGCGCGAAAGATATAAAAGCAAGAGGGCCACTGAATCTGGCAGCAAAGTTTCAGAGAGCTGCCGAGTCCAGGCAATGTGTGGAGTCCCTGCAACAGGGTTCTCCAAGACCATGCATAAAGCTAGGAAGGTGATGCCCAAGCTGCAATAGAAAACCCAGGAATGTTCAGAGAAGCCACAGCCAAAGGACATCTGCCAAAGAAAACTACAGTAGAGCTAAGCTAACAGAAAGGTCACCTATATTGAAGGCATCAGAGTAGGAGGGAGTGCCCAAGGCTGTTGGAGCCCAGATGACAACATCACAACGCAATCACATGGAGCTATGGGTTTGTGCTTGCCCTGCTGGATCTCAGTCTTGTTTTGCCCCCATCCCTCCTTTTGGACTGGGAATACTGATATGATATATTTGAAGTCCATAACTTGTTTTTCTGTCTTGTTTTGTTTTGTTTTGTTGGGGGAGGGGCTTTATAGAAGTTTGTAGTTAGGAGTCTCAGAAGATAGTTTAGACTTTCAAACAATATTGGGGTTGCTATGGTCTATGGGGACTTTTGAAACAAATAAATGCAGCTGCATTATGAAATGAAAACTTTAGAGGCAAGGGTATAATGTTACAATCTTAAATGATGTGTTGGTGTCAAGCTGACAAAGGGAGGAGCTGTCATAATTAATTTTATCAGCTTGGCTGCATTTAGAATCACCATGGAAACACACCTCTGAATGTGTCTATTAGGGTATTTCCAGAAAGGCTTAGCTGAGCAATAGCACTCCCCACCACCACCAAATGTAGGCAGCTCAAATTCCAACCCCTTGGGCTAGAATCCCAGGCTGAATAAAAGGAAAGGGAGCTGGGCAGCAATGTCAGCTCTGCTTCCTAAGCATGGCCACTGGGACCAGTTTCTCTCTACCCTACGGCCACAGTCTCCCTGACATGGTGACCACAACTCTCAACCTGTAAGACCAAAAAACAAACAAAACAAAACAAAAACACCCCCCAAAAAACTTTGTTTTTAAAAAGTTACTTGTTTATTTATTGTATTTATGTCTATGTGTATGTGCCTACAAGAGTTTGTTTATATTACTACATGCCTGTGGAACCCATAAAGGCCAGAAGAAAGCATCAGATCCCTGGAGCTGGAGTTCCAGATGATTGTGAGGGGCCATGTGGATGCTGGGAACTGAACCTCTGCAGGAGCAGAAAGTGTTCTTACCCACTGAGCCGTCTTCCCAGCCCCCAAACCTTCCTTCTTTCAGCTGTTTTTATCAGATTTTTTTTTCTTTTTTTGGTTACAGAATGATAAAGTAACTACTATAGAGAGGAAAAGCCAGAATCCTTATACCTCTGCTTGGCTGCTCTTCTTTCTTGTGATGCTTCTATAATAAAACAGCAAACGAGCCTTTTATTCCAAGGTCTACCTAAGGTGAAGGAAAGCTCATGCCATGATGCAGATGGGAGAAGTCAAAACAATGCGCATGACACCTGATGGTATGAATGCAGCAATTTTCATGATTAGAACTTGTGCCTCCTCAGAGGAGACAGAAAACACTAAGTGCTAATTTTAAAGTATATGAGCAGCCATAGTGACTTACAAAGTCCTTTTTCCTTAGATGGAGAATAGCAACTTATACAGATTGAAATCAACTATATTATCCCTAAGCGAAAAGAAATGCCTTAAATACACCGACAGCTTTAGTGGGTGCCTGCTGGCGCCTTACACACCAAGTACGACACAGAACACAAAAGGACAGAGCCTGCCCTCCCTGCTTTCACTGGAGCACCCTTGCTTTCTGAGACTGTGGGACAGGGGCGAGGACTACAGGAGCGTGAAACAAACTCCTGTCTACACTCTAAGCTTGGTGTCCTTCCCTCTGGACCTTAATAAATAATTAAGTAAATGCTACCCAAATGAGTAAGAAAAAATGTCATAGTAAATGTGACAGAAGAAGAAATGGCAACTCCGTCCATAAAACCCAGTTTTGTTAGAGTCGATATTACTTTCAATACCTCAGATTCAGAAAGGGTGAAATTTACATAAAATATTGACTAAATAATATTCTCTGAAAGCCCTCTTCACTGACTAGCTAGGAATGTATTTTCCTTCCATATCATACCTACAAGAGTGCGTAATACTTCAAACAGCAGCCTCAGAACTAAAATAAACATTGACAATAGTGAGAAGAAAGAGTAGTGAAGAAAACAGTCAACCAGCCTACCTGTTTTACTGCTCTGCTCAAACAAGTCCTCCTGAGTGGACGAGACCTCAGGCTCCGAGGACATCTGAACCTGCAGCGCCCCTTCCGGAAGCTCTTGGGAAGGCACCTGTTCCTTTGTTTCCACAGCTGCAACAGAGGCTTGAGGACTGGAAGGCAGATCCTCTGACCTATCCATACCACCAAGGATAAAGATCGCTAAGTCCGGAATGTTTCCCTCTTGAAACAAAATGCTTCAATCTAACAATTTTAAAAAATTCTAACAGCCCTAAGTCTACATGACCTACTAAAAGTGAAATGCTACTGCAAAGTCCTCAGGCTTTTCAAAGCCTGTCTCCAGGCTTTGAACCTCTTTTCAGTTTTGTGTCTGTTCCAACACTCCGGGCAAGTGATTTGAGAATTGCTACAAATGTCTTCATACAGAACTGATGTGGCTTTTCTCTTCACTGGTGATACAAATAATTATCTATTGCCTGCTGACCTTTTCTAGAACTCTTTTATACATTCTGCCCAGTCAGGAAAGTTTTGGCCCTTTCCCAGACTTTTACTTATTCTACTATACCCAAGAAAAATGGAAAAGCAAGACTAACAGGAAAGCCAGGCCTGTGGGCCATATCTGTAATCAAAGTGTTTCCAAGGTTAAAGTGGAAGGATTGTGAGTTGAAGACCAACCTGAGCTACATAGTAAGTCTGAAGAGAGCCTGAACTACAGAGTAGTTCTTAAATAATAATAATAAGTTAACTGAAATAAGAACTTTCTAAACTAGGCGGCGGTGGCACACACCTTTAATCCCAGAACTCGGGAGGCAAAGGCAGGCGGATCTCTGTGAGTTCGAGGCCAGCCTGGTCTACAGAGCAAGTGCCAGGACAGACTCCATGCTATACAGAGAAATGCTGTCTCAAAAAAAAGTTGAGCTTGATGGGATACACACCTACAAGATGAGGCAGAAGGATTTTTTTCAAGTTCAAGGCTAGCCTGGGCCATACAGCAAAAATACTGTCGCAATAAAAAACAAAAGCCTTAAAACGCCATGATGCTGAGGGATCCCTACCCAACTTTCTATTGAAGGAAATTAGAAAAGGGTACTGAATGCTTGTTCATCTCCCTTCAAATCCAAAGCATCCCTGTTTTCCTCTGCTACGAGACAATCAAATAGCTTTGGATACAAGAATTACCACAAACTATGCACTGTACATCTCCATCACTATCAAACTAAAAGCCAGGAACACTTGGAAAAATTTCTACTTCTAGCTACACCATAAATTAACAGGATGATACGTAACAACCCAAAGCAATCTGGGTGCTCAAGAATTCTAACAGGTTGCTAATGTAACATTCACCTGTCTTTTCTGTCTTTTTCTTTCTTTTCTTTTTTTTTTTTTTTTTTTTTTTTTTTTTCATTTTTGTTTTTGTGACAGGGTTTCTCTGTATAGCCCTAGCTGTCCTAGAATTCCCTCTGTAGACCAGGTTGGCTTCAAACTCACAAAGATCAACTGCCTCCTGAGTGCTGGAATTAAAGGTGTGTGCCACCTCTGCCTGGTACATTTACATCTTTATAGGCCCCAAAGATGCAAAAAGGATCTCCTACAAATAGAAAGTACCTCTGATTACCCAGAAGAGTGTCAATCAAAGATCAAGGAGTATATTTACAGAATAATGCACCTTTATAATAGGCCTGAATTACAATGAAAGCACACACAGTAAGACTGCATAAGTAATACATATTTATAAATAACCAAAGTTTCTATTGGACAAAAACAAGATGGTAAATATCTACAAAATGTGATAAAGGGAATCTGCAATTTCTAATACTGTTTCTATAGCTAAAATGAAATTGCCACAGCCCCAAGTGAAACCCCACAGACACCTTTAGAGAGAGCATGGCTCACCTTGCAGGTTGTAGATTTTGCTCGTCTACCACAGGGATATCTTTATTGTGCTGAACTGTAACAGGGATATCTTTGTTGGGTTGTTCTACCATGGAGGTATCTTCAGAGGAGTGTTCTTCACATTTAATTGCTTAATACATAAGAAAAAAAAAGATACGAAAAAGATATTTAACTTGTCGAAGTATTTAAGGCAGCCACAAATGATTCTCAAAAGGTAAAAATCTTAATAGAACTGTCTAACTTTAAAATATCACAAGCAATATAATAGAGGGACAATACCCAACTAGACGCCACACACTACCAAATAAAACCCCAATACCAGAAATGGGTGACCACTTTTTGAATTGTTGGCTAATAGGGTTCCATAGATCTCCCAAACATTACAGTCTATTTGAGGATAAGATCCTACTGCTGAAGACACCACACACTTGAGTCATAATACATGGACTCAACTAGAACTCAACTAGAAACTCCATCTCTACTGGCTGGTATTCATAGTGTTAGAAGGTGCTATGGGTGTTACTGAAGAAAAAAAGTAGTCATCAATCTCACCCAATAATGACCCTCTGAGTTACAACAACTGGCCTGGAAAGTTATGACCAACAGTGCAATACTAGCATAAATGTTATGGGAGTAACCAACTTCTTTTTAAAAAACTGAATTTAAGGCCCATTACATGAGATGGAACCCATACTTAACACCATTAATGAGGCCAAGAACCTGAAGCTAGACAGGTCATGGGTCATAGGGGAAGATCTATTACTCTACTATATGAACACAGCAATAAAATTACTCCTAATACTAATAGATCAATGCATCACTCAATCCTCATCAAAGAAGCTTCTTCTAATAGTATATGGCAATTAACAGAGAAATCCACAACTGGTCAACATGCAGCAAATAAGAAGCTTGGAATTCTCAGTTCTAAACGGGATGTCTTTATCACACCTCTCCCCTCAAGACTCGGGGTCTATACAGAAGAGGGGGTAAAACTTGAAAGAGGCAGAGATGGTAGATGTCTTCAAGGAAACTGTTTTCCAAACACAACAGGGAAAACACATATACAGACTCAAAGGGACTGTGAGAACATACACAAGATCTGCACAAACCTAAACCAGATAAAATCTCAGCATGACATTCCACCCTTAGGTAAGGCGCTATAGGCATCTGATTGCTACCAGGAGAGGCAAAGCCCTTCTTTAGTGGCATAACACCTAGTATACAAACCATCCTCCAGAGCAGGCCACAGGCCCAGGAAGAGTCAGATAACTGAAACTGGACTGCATAGGTGTTTGGTTTGTTTTGTTTTGTTTAAAAAGAGGGAAAACAAAGTTGGATGGGTTTGGGCAGGTCCTAGAAGAAGCTGGGTAAATATAATCAAAGAATATTGTTGGGAAATCCCAAAGAATAAAAATGCAACATACAAATATAGATACAGACAGACAGACACACACACCTGCAGAAATGGTTCAGAATTTAGAGTACATGCTAGTCTTTCAGAGGATCAGAATTCAATTCCCAGCACCCATGTTGAGTAGCTGACAACCACATGTTAAGTCCAGCTCCAGGAGATCTGACACCATCTTGTGACCTCACAAACACCATACGCATACACATAAATTTAATTTTTAAAAAATATAAGTATCACCCCAAAAAAGAAAGTAACCAATGACCTACTTAGAGAAAATACCAATGTGCAAGTCATCACTTGACAAGACTTACTGCTTACTCTGCAAACTTGTATGAATCTGGATAGCTGTAAAAATTACTGAGAAGCTGGGTAGTGGTGGTACATACCTTTAATCCCAGCACTTGGGAAGCAGAGGCAAGTGGATCTCTGAGTACAAGGCTACCCTGGTATAAAAAGTGAGTTCCAGACAGCCAGGACTATAAAGAAAAATCCTGTCTTTAAAAAGCCAAAAACAAAACAAAACAAATAACAAAACCCACCTCATTGGAGGCGGTAATGCTGAAGACATAATTCAGCAATGAAGAGTAATTGTTGCTGTCACAGAGGACCCAGGTTTGGTTCCCAGCACCCATATAGTGGCTCACAACCATCTATACTACAGTTCAGGGAATCTGATGCCCTCTTCTGACCTCTGTGGGCACCAGGCAAACATATTGTAGGCATACATACATGAAAGCAACATTAGAAAGTAAAATTAGAAAGTGAACCTAAAATTATTTCTAAATTATTTTTTCTAAACTAAAGAGAAAGCTAGTGAATCTCTATGAGTTCAAGACGATCCTAGTCTACATAGCAAGATCCAGACCACCAGCAGAGTTACATGGTGAGACTCGAGCATCAAGCAAATCAAAAACAAAAAGAAAGAAAAAGAAAAAACACCTTGAAGGGGGGAAAAAAAACTGGTTCTAGATAAACAGGAAAAAAAACCTTATAATCAACACCACAGTACGAAAACACATTTCATACCAGTATTTTCATCCACATCAGACAACTGGGTAGAACCCAAGTTGGTGGTAACCAACTGCATATGCTCTTGGTTGGCATCATATGGTACTGTAGGTTCTTCAACATCCTGACTCTGGGAGAGTTCCAGAACCCCAAAGCCCAACTGTGATGAAGCAGAATCTAGAAACAAAACTCAAAAAAATTAGATACCATCCCACAACATTTTCAATGTGCAAGCCTGCTATCTTATAAAGAGGATCATGTTTAAAACATTTTTTTGCATTTATGTGTATATGTGTTCATACTCACCACACACACACACACACACACACAAACACACACAGCTCAAATGTGAAGGTCAGAGGTCAACTTGCAGGAGTCAGTTCTCTCCTTCCACAATGTGGATTTCAGAGACAGAACTCAAGCCATCAGGCTTGGCTGGCAAGTACTCTACCTAGCCATCTTACCAGCTCCAGGATTACACTAAATGTGTGATCACATCAAAGACTCACCATACATAATTTTTACAAAACAATACAAATGAGGGGATTGGGCATGGGCTCAATCCCAAGCACCACAAGAAAAGAGGGGGGCAAAGTCAAGAATAAAATTATTAGACTGGGTATGGTAGCACACACTTACAATGCCAGCACTGGGAAAGCAGAAGCAGTGGGATCAAAAATCTCAGGGCCATTCTTAGCTATACAGTGAATTTAAGGCCATCCTGGACTATGTAAGACCATACTGTAAAAATAAATTAGCTTTACCCAGAAGGTAAAGGCTCCTGATGCTAAACCTAATATGAACCTGAGTTTGATTCCCTCGGATCTATGTGATGGAAGGAGAGAACCAACTCCCAAAAGTTGGTCCTGACATCCACACGTGGTGCCATAGAATGTGCACTGCATGCCCACACACACATTATTAAATTAATAATAAAAGTAATTTTTAACGGGGGTATATAATAAAGCAAAAACAGGTACCATAAAGCCTTATAAGCATTTAAAATGATAAAAAATGTCAATAATCTGTAGATACAACCAAAACCACACCCAAAGGTACTTGAAAATAAGTGCAAAGGGAGAAAGAAACAAAATGCAAAAAGGGAGCTAGTCAATGAGTAATGATTCATTTGTTTGTTTCATTGTTTTGAGAGGTCATGCTATAAAGCCACACCCAGCCTTGAACTTCTAATGCTCCTGCCTCAGCCTCCCTGAGTGCTAGAATTCTAGGTGTGCATACATGCATCATCATGCCCAGCTTACTGTTACGTTGGGGTCTTTTAATGTTTCCCAGAGGCATGAATTAAAAGCTTAGTCACTGCATGGGGTGCCATTATGAGATGGTGGAACCTTTTTCTTCTTATTTTTGTCTTGATTTTAAAGCAGGGTCTTACTCTGTAGCCCAGGCTGGCTTCTATTGCAAGGCAATTCTTCTCTATTCCTAACTGCTAAGATCACAGTCAAGCACCACACCAGGTGCCGAAACCTTGAAGAAGAGGCCTAGGGAGGGATGGGTAGCCCCATCTTCCCTTCTCTCTCGCTTGTTTCCCAACTCCTGTGAGGTAAAACAGCTTTGCCCCATGTACACCCAACCATGGTATTCTGTATTGCCACACACCCAAAGTAATGGGGGAAATTTCCAAAACTGTTTATTTTCTGGGGTATCCTATCATGGTTTTGGAAGGCTGCTTAACAGAGAAAGTTACGTGAGACATCTGAAATTACTAGGCAAATCCTTAGTGATTCTTAGCTTAATCATGAGAAATCTATTACATGGTAAAGAGAAATTTAGCTACCTGTGTGTTCACAGTAAAGGGGCATGAGAAGAATCTATTATTCTGAAAGGGCACAGGCTACCTTCAGCACCAAGGGAGCACGGAGCAGCATCAGCAGCGTCTGCTCCCACCTCTTCATTCTCCTCTTCCAGCTCTTCCTCCTTCTCCTCCTCTGGAAGAGAAGCGGCTTCTACTGTCACTCCCAGAACACTGCAGTAAAAGAACACAAACATGTGATGCTCCCAGATAGAGGGAGGCTCTGTTCAAAGCACACTGACTTTCACTATGACTGCCCTCAAATGCCAATCATCTTTTAACCAGATCAGAAATGTAAACAAACTTCATGGCTGTAGTGCTACCTGTAGAAAGTACCTAAAAGCTTCATGATTCAAATACTGTACCAAGTTTAGTATCAAAACTAAGCAGGAGGAAAACATAAATATACTTAAATTTTATCTTATGATGGCTCTTGGGGTAATGGTGCTTGCCACCAAACCTAATTACTTGGATTAATTCTCTAAAACCAAATAGTGGAAGGAGCAACCTTAATTAGATCCACAGGCTTTATATGGTGAGAGGAAAAAAATCAGTTTCTACAAACACATGCCATGGCATGCACATGTGCACACACACACAAATAAAATATCATTTTTAAAATTAAATTTAAAGATAGAGACCACTGAAATCCACACACCTGGCCTTCTGTCTGTCTTTCTTATGTCCCTAACAGATATCTAAGTGGAGGTGTGCTCAATTAGTCCTTAGACCTTTTCTCTGGATGTATTCAACCTCTTACTCAGACTCAGCTTGGAATGGTTTTTTATTAAGTCTCAATCTGCATAGCTCAGGCTAGCCTAGAACTCAGTATGTATTTCTCAGGCTAACTCTGAACTCACCACGATCCTACTACCTCAGCCTCCAGAGTGCTGGAGTCATGGATGTGCACAACCACCTCCAGCTCCCAAAGTTTTGAATTCTGCACTATCCATGACTCTACAACATCTCTCTCCAGCCAGTATGTGAACCACCTGTTCACCACGTCCACTTCTAATGGATAGCTCGGTCTCAACCATCTATAGCTGAACTGTTTTTCCTCAGTCTTCTCCATTTCAAACAACCACTCTATTCTTCTAGCTGCTCAAACCAAACCTGGAATTGTTACTTCCTCCTTCCTGCTGACGCTCTACATGTGATCCATCTTCAAATCCTACTTTCTGATCTCAGAATCTCACCAAGTCATCCACTGCTACCCTGAACTTTTCTGATCTTCATTTTTCATGACAGTGTTTCTCTATGTAGCCCTGGCTGTCCTGGAACTCAATCTGTAGACCAGGCCAGCCTCAAACTCACAGAGACCCACCTGACTCTGCCTCCCAAGTGCTGGGATTTAAGGCATGTCATGTGCCACCAACGCCCAGCTTTATCTTGAACTTTTAAAAATAAACCAGGTATGTTATCCTACTGGAAAATACTTAACAATTTAAAACTTGCTCTGTGAAAAGACATGCTATGGGAGAGCAGGGAGAGCGGGGGGGGGGGGGGGCAGGAAAGATGGCTCATTGATTCAGAGCACTGTCTGCTCTTCCAGAGGGCCCCCACAAAGGTCAATTCCTAGCAAGCACATGGTGTCTCACAACCAGCATAAAGTTATCTAATGCCCTCTTCTGGTATAAATTCATACATGCAGATAGAGCACTCATATATGTTAAAAAAAAAAAAAAAAAAAGGCAAGCTACACAGTGAAAATATTTACAAACCAAACCACACCAATTCAAAGGCTCAGAGGACTACACCCAGAATTTACAAAGCACTCTCAAGAAACAATAGGGCTAGGGACATAGTCCAGCAGTAGAAAACTTGACTCTCATGTACAGGCCCCAAGTTCAACTCCAAGAACAAGAAAGGGGGTGGGGGGAAAGGCAAGTGAAAAATGAAATAAATAATCAATTTAAAAATGAGCAAAAGTAGTGCATATCTTTAATCCCAGCACTAGGGAGGCAGAGAAGTAGGTGGACCTCTGTGAGTTTGAGGCCAACCACATGTACAGAGTGAGTTCTAGGACATCCAGGTCTGTTACATAGAAAAACCCTGTCTTTAAATAGATAGATAGATAGATAGATAGATAGATAGATAGATAGATGGGCAAAAAGACACAAACAGACATTTCCCTGAAAAGGAAGGCAGATGATAAACAAGCACACAAGAGGTTCAACCTTATTTGCCATTAGGAAAATGAAAAAAAAAAAAAAAAATCAAACCACAATGAGATATTACTATACACTTATCAGAATGGCTCAAATAAAAACAGTGAATAGGGATAGTTCAATTGGGAAAGCGCTTACCTAGAGAGCATGAGGCTATGGATTCTATCCTCAGTACCACATAGCAGAGTCATGCCTTATTTCCAGTAATTGGAGGTAGAGAGGTAGGAGCATCAAAAGCTCAGTTACACAGTGAGCTTGAGGTTTGAGGCTGGCCTCTCGAAAATATTTTCTTAATTTGTGTATATTATGATTTATAAATAGTGAAGGGGCTGGTGGTATAACCAGGTCACAGAACATTGCTACTCTTAGCATGACTGAGGCCTCAAGTTCAACCCTGAGTATCCCCAAAGACAAAAACAGTGAAAAAACCAGCAGCTGGTGAGAACAGAAATTACAACACTTCCACACTGCCAGATGACAGAGAATAGAACCATCCGGCAGTTTCTCTAAAAAACTAAACATGCAACTACCACATAGCCAAGCAATTAAAAACCTGAATATTAAAGAAAGCAAAGTTTATTTTCACATAAACAATTTATACAAGGTGCCAGGCACAGCAGCATACCTAAATGCCAGGACTCAGGAGGCAAAAATAGGCAGATCTGTGAGTTTGAGGCCAGCCTTGCCTACATAGCAAGTTCAAGGCCAGCCAGAGCTACATTGTTAGCTGCTGACTCTCAAAAAATAAAAAAATGTTTAAAATTAAAAACAACAACAACAACAAACTATAGGAGCCTTTGTCTGCCGAGCAATCTCCCTGGTCTTTGTGTAAATACACAGACATATTTATGTACACACACTGAACCTAACAACCTGCATTCAATCCCAGGACCCACTTGGTAGAAGAAGAAAATCAAGCTGTCCCTGAACCCCACATGCACACCCACACACATACACAAGACATAAACAATTTTAATTTGCACAAATACTTGTAACCGTTTTATTCACAACAGTTAAAAACTTAAAAGAGAAAGATATGCTTCAACCTATGAACAATGGCATATCTGACATCCTCTGAAAAGACTAGTCAGATCAGAAGCAATGACTGATGCATGGAGACTCCTTGATGGATCTCCCAGGAGTTACGCTGATAGAAAAAAAGCCAATCCCACACACTTGCATATTTGTATAATATTCTGAAGTAAATTTTACAAATAGAACATAAGTTAATGATTGCTGAAGGCTCAGGCACATCAGACAAAGGGAGGTATGACCATAGAGTATCAGACATCCTTGTACACAACTGTTCAGTCCCTTGACTGTAGTGGTAGACACAGGAGTCCACACAAATTATACACTAGAAACATAATACCCACCCACAAACTAACAGGAAATCTAAGTGAATGCTGTGACTCTCACCAGTATCCTGGCTGTAATATTATAGTTTTGCACTGGGCAAAGTATACTCAGACTCTCCCTGTATTCTTTGTGTTTGTTTTTAGTTTTGTTTGTTTAGATAGTTTGACTATGTATCCCAGGTTATTCTTGAATTCACTATGTAGTCCAAGTTGGCCTCAACTCCAAAGTGGTCCCCCTGCCTCAGCCTCCAGAGTGCTAAAATTACAGGCATGTACCCCCACAATGAGCTCCACACTGTGTCTTACAATAGCATGTGAGGGTACAATTATCTCCACTTAAATAAGTATGTTCCACGGGGGCTTTTAGCTATAGCTCAGTGGTAGATAGCCTACCTAGAATACACAAAGCTCTAAGTAATATATGAAAATAAATATGTAAGACTGGGGAGATAGCTCTACATTTAAGAGCTCTGGATGCTCTTCCAGAAAGAAGACTGGGGTCAATTCCTAGCACCCATGTGACAGCTAATAACCATTTGTACATCCTGGCCTCATTACACTAGCTACACACATATGGTAGTGCACAGACATAAATACAGGCAAACTATGACATGTAAAACAAAAATAAAACCTTCAAAAAATATTTAAATAAATCTATAAAAAAATGATCTTTTCTGTTTTGTTTTGGTTTTATTTTTTGTTGTTCTTCAAGGCAGGGTTTCTCTATGTAGTCCTGGATGCCTGAACTCACAGAGATGCACCTGCCTCTGCCTACCAAGTGTTGGGATTAAAGGCATGCACTACCACCACCTGGTAGTAAAGATTCATAAAAATGAATCATTAAAATGACAATTTTGGGGGCCAGTAAGATGATTCAGTCAGTAAAGACACTTACCACCAAGCCTGTTTACCTGAGTTTGAGTCCCAAAATCCATATAGTGGAAGAAAAGAACTGACACCCCCCCCCTCCCCAAGCTGCTCTCTGGCCCCCACAATATATAAAAATAACTTAAATTTCTGATAGAAAAAAATATAACCATCCTTTCCATATTACATTGTTGGGAAGTCCCTACTTAGAAACATCAGTTTATAGCTGGGTGGTGGTGGCGCATACTTTAATCCCAGCACTTGGGAGGTAGAAGCAGGCAGATATCTGTGAGTTCAAGGCTAGCCTGGTCTACAGAGCAAGTTCCAGAACAGGCTCCAAAGCTACAGAGAAACCCTATCTCAAAAAACAAAACACAAACAAACAAAAAAAGAAACACCAGTTTATATCATCAGATCACAAGGAAAATGAAGTTTTTAGAATTATTTTTTAAGATATATTTCTTTATTTTATATGAGTGCTCTATTTATGCATGTATGCCTTTATGCCAGGAGAGGGCATCAGACCCCACTACAGATGGGTGTGAGCCACCATGTGGGTGCTGGGAACAGAACTCAGGACCTCTGAAAGAGTAGCCCAATGCTCTTAACCACTGAGCCATCTCTCCAGAGCATGTGTTCTGAAGAATTTCCATTCTTTTGGAATCAACCATAAATTCTCCCCACCTTTGAGGCCTTTGCACATGAAATTTACTATCTAGAAAGATCTCCCTCTCACAGGGCAGCTTCTCTTCAGGCCCTTAACTGTGACTAACACATTTGTATTTATTATTTAGACTGCATCTCTCAAAGATGTGTTCCTTTACTCTCGGCTAGAACTTGTATTTTGTTCTCTTTGTAATGATCATAATTGTAACTTAGGACTGAGATAAAAGACTAGGTCTCCATATTCAGTTATAAACCCCATAAAAACAAAGCCCCTTTAAAGTACCTGCCATGGGGACTGAACATTTATTGAACATGACCATCAGATCTGTATTTACATAAAGAGCAAGAGCAATACAATGACTCAACAAGGAAAAGCAGCATGGAATAGCCCGGACACTACTGTTGCTTTTACAACAGGGTATGCCCTCTTCTTGTCCCCACCATGCACCCCAGGTTACAAACCATAATAGCACACCTGAGCCAGGCACATATTCCTCAAAGACACTATAAACCAAAGCAAAAACAAATAACAGATGACCACACCAGGCATGGTGGCTCAGCCCTGTAGTCTCAGCAACTGAGAATCTGAGACAGGAGGCTCACCATGATTAGAGGTCAAATTAAACTACATGATGAGTTCTGGAACAGTTTGGGCTACAGAATGAGACCCTGTCTCAACAACTAAATAAACACAATCATAGATAAGTGAAGCAGCTGGAAATAGGAACAAGCACTGTGACAAATGGCAAGGTACACCCGGATGAGGTGGCCAACTGTCATAGTGAGTTCCAAGGACTTCGGAAACTGTAGTCATTGAGGACTAGCAATCCCAAAAACCAGAAGTTCAAGCTTTATAAGAAATTACCTCCTCCTTTTTTTATTAAATTTTTTTGGGGGGTAGGAATGGGAGACAGGGTCTCACTATTTAGCCCTGGCTGATCTCAAAGTCTACTTGTAGACCAAGCTGACCTTTAACTCATACAGATCCACCTGCCCCTGCCTCAGTAACACTGGAATTAAAGTTATGCAAGACCACACCAGGCTCCAATTTTTAAATTCAAACCCCTTCAAATATATTTTACCATTATGAGTCTAACAAAACTCATCCACTGGTCAAGATAAGCCCGATAGTTGTCACATTGTTTAAAAGTTTCCATTTCCACTTGAGAGAAAAACTTAAGTGCAAACACAATATAGAACACACCCCAGGAAAAGCACTTTGTTTTCAGATAAAGCCATGTCAAGCTAACATCCCTGTCTCTCAGCTATCTACGCTCTCAGCCTAACACCTGAAGTTGCCTTAGAAGAACCAGGACAGAAGCCTGAGAAACCCTGAACAGTAAGAAGTGGGGCCAGAAGGCATGGCTCTCCTGAACACAGCCAAGCAAGTCCTTTAACTTCTCTGCCCATCAGTTTCCCCATGGGGTGGAGACGCCGCATTTCCTGCACAGTTGCTTAAGAACAGAGTTAACTGGGATTCTGTCAGAAATCAATATGGAACACAGTATCTAACACAGAGGACACCATCACGACATACATAAGACACAGTAGAAACTCTTTAGGGTGTACATTACAATGTGAATACTGGAGTTACACAAACTATTACTTCACCAAAGAGACCCCAGATCTCTAAAACAACACCATCTAAGTAATCCCCAAATCCCATTCCCTAATTCACAGAAACATGACGAATCTCTTCGTCTTTCAATGGGTCTGCAGATACAGATAAGAGTTGATCGGATAATAAATTGAAATCAATTCCTTCAACAGTAGCTAGTATACCTGCTTGTCCTGTTTGGCTGAGGCAACTGTTCTATGACCTGACTGATGGAACCACACGTGCCCAAATGAGGAGAATCCACAGGGTCTGAAAAAAAATAGTAACAGTAACTGGACAGTACACAAAAGACATGTGCCACCAAACTTTAATGCAAAGTCAGAAATTTAGGCAACACATAAGACATCATGAGTTTCTAAAGGCTTACTGGACACTAAGTTACACACTAGGCTACCTTACACACATCATCCTGTATGTTGAAATCATTCTGCTCCAACCTGAAACACTGCAAGAGAGGTTGGAGCCTTAACAGCTCACCTGAAGCAGCTTTGTTTTCTTTTAGATGTTCACTGAAGGAGCTATTATTGTCTCCTTGCTCCTCAGCAGCTGCTTGTTCCGGATTCGACACAGTATCCTAGAAAATACACATGTTTAAGACACAGCATACAAAATGGACTTTTTGTGTGTGCATGACCGCGGGAACACTTTGGTTTTATTTTTTCCCACCAACTTTACCTAAAAGATAGTGATCTCCTACACACGAAGTTTTCTGGGTTTGGATTAGGGGGCAAAAAAATAAGACCTCAACTCTGTTCAACCATTTTCAAATACAGCACCACTCACCAACACGGGGTTCTCTTTGTGTATCTGCAGATTGGGAAGGTGTCGAGACAACATACTAAAGTGAGAGCCCGCATCTTCTTCCAGAACCTGGCTTTCAGGCTGAGAATCTTCAATTATCAGGCAAGGAGTATCTTGCTGAGAGAAATCTGAATCCAACTGACTTCCAGTAGGGTCCATCTGCTCCCCTGGAGTGGAATAACAAAAGATCAGTTCCGAGAGTAACACTGCGAGCCTTCCTCACACAATCCACGACTAAATAATAGGGCGGAAGTGTGAGCTAGGATAGGACCAGTCTAGATAGAGCTCCTCATAAGTAGCACGCATTTGCAATCCCTGGAAATACTGTCCCAGCTATCTCTTCACCCCTCGTTTCTCCGTTATTTACAACGAGTCTCTGGATCTTTCTGTCCCTCCCTCCCTCCCTCCCTCCCTCCTTTCTCTTCACCTTCCCGCAGACACCCTTCCCTCCTTCCTCACCTCTTCTCCCCGCCCCTTTCCATCCCCCCCACAACTCTCCCCGCGGCTTCCCTCCTCTGGGCCCCGGGAAGACCTCTTCGCAACCTCGGCCAGGCGGGAAGCCGCAGCCCTCACGCGGCCTCAGGACCACCGCGGCGGCCGCCTCCCCACCCCCTCCCCGGGTCCTCCAACCCGGTCCCCGTCACCGCCGCCATGCTTGCCACCCCGCCCCCTCCAGGCAGCCAGCCCTTCGTGCCCGCCACCTGGACCTCCGAGGCCAGCTCGCCCCGCTTCGCCCCCACCACTACCTGGCATCCCGGCGGGAGGTCCCTCACGCTGGATCTAGAGGTCTCTGCACGCTTCCCAGGCCCCTCCAGGTCGATCCCCAGGTCGCCACTGTCGCCACCGCCGCCACCAGCCGCGAGCTCCCCCTTTTCCCGTCACGTCACTCGGTACCGGACCGCCCATTCGCTGCTGCGGCCCGCCACTCAGGAAAGCCTGTGGATGATAGGTGACTGGAACGTAGTGCCCGCCCCTCGCGTAAGAAAAGGAACACGGCGGCGCGTTTCCATGGCAGCATGGACGTCGCAGGCCCTCCCCCTAATACAACCAGAATGACAGTATCCTTGAACCAAAGGGACATTGAGAAAGCATGAAACAGATAACCCTGTGTGCAGGACAGGGTTACTCGCGACTCACATTTGAAAGTATTAACCCCTCTGCTGACTTCCATGGAAAAGGAGAGTCTCGGGATTTTCAAAGAAAGGGCAAAAAGGAGGAGGACTGAGAACAGTATTTCAGAGGTGGTGAAATGGAAGAGGCGACACTTCATGGGGTTTGCCAGTGTCGATCAGGATCCTCTCTGGACCTCTGCCTGAATTCAAAGGGCCTCAATTTTCCCACTCTATGTCTCTTCCAATTTTGTTTTTGTTGTTATTTTCCGTTGTCTGAGGGCCCCAGTAAGTCTTCTTGTTCCCATTCCCTCTCAAGCTTCCTATTTGTGTCTCTCTGCCCTTTCTTTTATGGGATGGCAGCAGCCTCAGACGCTTTGCGCCTCTCCTTGAAAGACTTGAGCATTGTGATTCTCAAACTAGTAGCAAAGGGAACAGCTGTCGCCCCTACTAACGCAATGACCTAAAAGATCCAAGCCGGGAGATTTAATTATCCTAATTATGGTGTCAGGGTCTTATAAAGGGTGTGGCAGCTGTGACAACTATTAATGAACTGAGCCCAAGAGACATACGTGGTGTCGTTGCCATTTTAATTTAAATTGCCCTTGGATCTGGGCTAGAATTCTAACCAAGCAGCTGTCAAGCATCTAACACAATGCCAAGTATATACATAGTAGGTATTAAATAGGAGGTAGTTTTCTCTACTCCAGACTCAGAATTATTTAGGCACAGCCCATACATGATTCTCAACTTCTATAAATGCCCAGTTCAGCCCTTGAAATAAGCTAAGCTTAGAGAGGCGCTTTCAACCAGCCAATCTTCTCTCTGCTGCTATAAATAACAATGATCATCTTTTTCATAACCCAAAAAAATCAAAGCATGTTGTCTTCGTTACGTTACTTGGGGAAACAAAAGAATTGACTTAAATGAAATTGTTCTGAAAAATCTAGGATTGTTATAACTAGAATTCCTGTCCAAGTTGAGCAAAAAATGGTCCAAATCACAGACAAATCTCACTTCTCAATCCTAAAATCATTCATAATTGATTCCTGTGTTCCTCTGCTTCTGATGCTACTGAGTACTAGAAACCAAATCAATATAATCCTCAAAGAAAAATATCCACAGGGTTGGAGAGCTGGCTCAGTGGTTAAGAGCACTTACTGCTCTTCTGAAGGTTCTGAGTTCAATTCCCTGCATGCATGTGGCAGCTCACAATTGTCTGATGCCTTCTTCTGGTGGACAGATGTACATACAGACAAAGATAAAATACATGAATAAGCAGAGGTGAGGGTTTCTCGGTGTAGCCTTGGCTGTCTTGGAACTAACTCCCTTTATATATCAGGCTGGCCTCGAACTCACAGAGATTTGCCTGCCTCTGCCTCCCGACTGCTGGGATTAAAGACATGCACAACCACCACCCCTCTAAAAATGCTCTTTAAAGAAATTTCACATCAGGCCAACAGCAACTATACCAGAGCACTAAGAAAAATCCAACTGCTCAACTTGAGGGGGAAGAAACCAACTAGGTCTAGGAATAGGCAAACTGATGTTGGTTCCCACACAGCCCTCCCCAGGGCCGCCATGTTTTTCTCATCCAACTTTATATTGTATCTCTCCTTCACCTCCTGAGACATATATACCCAGGTCTTTCTGCTTACTTTAATGTTAAAAAAAAAATGCATTTGTCGAAACTCATAAAACTAGGAACTGGAGAGATGCTCAGCAGTTGTAGGCACTGATTACTTTTCCAGAGGAACTAGGTTCTATTCCCACCACCCACACAGTGGCTCACAACTCTAAGTCCAGGGAATCCAACACCCTCTTTTGGCGTCTGTGGATTGTGCATGTACATACATTCAAGCAAAAGCCCACATAAACCTAATGAAAATAGGCCTAAAAGAATTTCAACTCATAAAACTAAGAAGAGTACATTAAAATTCAATAAACATGATTGAGTAAATGAACTTGAGCCATTCGCACTACTAAATAAATCAAGAGGTTTAAAAAAAAAAGAAAGAAAGAAAAAACACTGGGAAGAAAAACTGTGGATTCCTTGTTAGGCAGTGTGGCAATTAAATCAATCATTAAGTTATCCCAGAGGATCAGAAAACACAGGCAGGATGGGTAGCCACTGGGGATATAACTGATTATACCTAGATGAGCTGGAGCTTTGATGGGCCCATGTGAAGACCATCAGCACTGCTATTTGCAAGGACCTGTTTACTTAGGTCACCTTGTACACAGAGAACGTTAATCTCTCAAGCTCCCCCTAAGAAGAAAATTTCACACCCTATGTCAACTTGCTTTAAAGTTTAAGAGGCCTCATTGTCAGAAAACGTTTCTTCTAATTAACTCACCTAAATCCAGTCTTCCAAAGTTTACAACCATTTCCTCTCATGCTGCCTTTAACTGATATCTTGAAAACCTACAGAAGATCTCATCAAGTCAGGACCATCCCATTGGGTCCTACAATCCCTTATAAATGTGGCCTGACTCAATTTGTCGAGTCTTTTTCTCATGTTTCCTCACAGATTTCTCCAAACAAAAGAACCCTACTGGTTTGAGCCTCACCGACCAGACTTTAGATGTGCTTCATGGTTGCCCAGGGGAAACACAGCTTTGGACCTCAGTGGCAGAGAATTCCATTGAGCATCTCAAAAGCACTTCATTTAACAATAGGGGCACAGTCGTACATCCCCTTTATGTTTCTAGAGTAAAGTATTCCAAGCTGACTTATAATTAATCTATCATTGGTTCTAATCCTTAGGCTGCCTTCTGTAATGTTTGAATCTACAAAAACATACCAGTGTTATAATTAATAGCATGTATTATTATATTTTCACCATGTGGCAAATGTTGGGCTGCTAAATATAATCTCACCTAATAGCATCATACTCTATGAGAGTACAGATGAACAGACCAAGCCTTGAAGAAATTTAAAAAAAAAAAAAAATGATACAAGTCTCTGAGTTAATAAGTGTTACCCTTTGAACCTACTTGTATAGTTACAGTAGTAAGCAGTGACAGATTGCTGAATAGATAACATAATAGCCTTTGTTTTGTTTCAGAATGTATTTTCACTCAAATACTGATTCTAGGTATCCCTGATCTTTCAGATACTCCTAGTTAAGCTAGAGTGAAGAAAGAAGGAAAAACAGAGACATTGTCAATACTGCATTACTATGGAGAAGTTAAGGCAACAAAAAAGTGAAGAGCAAGATGTGAAAGCCAACCAGCCTGACGTCATTTATGAACCTACCTCTAGGATAATTCTCCTACCAATACCTTCAACCCCTACAACAGAAGCAATCCTAGACAGCATGCCTTACTTCTACTCAGCTCCTTTGTCAATGCTTTTAATTAAAAATATTATTAGCCAAGTGTAGTAGCATGCACCTTTAATCCTAGCACTTGCAGGGCAGAGGCAGAAGGATCTTTCTGAATTTGAGACTAGTGTGGCCTTCAGAGTGAGTTTCAGGACAGCTACAGAGAGAGAGGCCTTGTCTTAAAAAAAAAAACAAACAAAAAGTTAATTTAAAAAATTACAAAATGAGGGAGACAGAGGCAGGTGGATCTCTGTGAATTTGAGGCCAGACCAGTCTACAGATTGAGTTCTAGGACAGGCTCCAAAGCTACAGAGAAACCCATCTCAGAAAACAAAAACAAAAAAAATTACAGAATGAAGCCTGGCAGTGGTAGCACACATCTTTAATCCCAGCACTCAGGGAGGCAGAGGCAGGTGAATCTCTGTGAGGCGAGCTTGGTCTACAGAGGGAGTTCCAGGAAAGGCTTGAAAGCTACACAGAGAAACCCTGTCTTGATTAGAAACAACAATACAAAATGTTAATGTGTTGATCTACACAGAGTGTACATGGCTACATGCAACATTTGTTTTTCTTTATCATCTATTTTAAGTACTTTTTATTTTTGTTTTTGCTTTTAGATAAGTCATCAAGTTGAGTAGTTGAGGCCACCATATCCAGTTTCTGATTATTTTTGAATCATGGGAAAATAAAGCTAAGTATGGAGGCTCATGCTGTTAATCTCAGACTTACAGGACTACAACAGGAGTTCAGAGTTCCAAGGCTAGCCTCAGCTACAGTATAAGACCTTGTACACACACACACACACACACACACAGAGAGAGAGAGAGAGAGAGAGAGAGAGAGAGAGAGAGAGAGAGAGAGTAAAAACATGAAAATTCACTATTTTAATCATTCTTGTTTGGTTTAGGATTTTGTTCATTCATTGGTCAGATTTCTTTTTCTTTCAAGACAGAGCACCACAATTTAGTCTAAGCTGGTCTGGGACTCTCTGTGTAAACCAGGCAAACCTCAAAGTTGTGGCAATCTTCTGAATGTTGCATTTAAGGTAATGTACTACCAGCACATCTAGACCCTCTTTAAGTATATAGCCTGTTAGCATTGGCTCACTCACACTGTATAGTACAATCATACCTTCATCTGTATACTTTTCATCCTTATAATTGTCCCATTAAGGGGCTGTAGAGATGGCTTAGCAGTTAGCAGCACTGGCACTGGCTGCTCTTACAAAGGACCAGGGTTCAGTTCCCAGTTCCCACCTAGCAGCTCACAACTATCTGTAACTCCAAGATCTGAAACCCTCATACAGACATACATATGCAGGTAAAACACCAATGCAAATAAAATAAAAATGAATATATTTTAAAAAATATTCCATAGTATTGCTTAAATTTATCTCTTAAAATCCTATAGAGTGTTTTGTTTGTTTGTTTGTTTTGGTTTTTCGTGACAGGGTTTCTCTGTGTAACAGCTCTGGCTCTCCTCAAACTCCCTCTGTAGACTA